TTGTGTGGTGTTTTTTTAAAAAACTTTTTTCACTCATAGTCCAAACTTAGGCAGGTTTCCTCAGAAGTCCCACTAGCCTACACAGCAATCCTAAGCATGTCTACTCAAAAGTAAGTCTCAATGAGTTTAGTTGGACTTAGTTCTGGGTGAGTGTGCATAGGACTGCAGATTTGCCTTTGGTTGTTTGACATGTTATAGCAGGGATGGGTAACCTGCAGCCTGTCAGATGTTGCTTAACTACAATTCCCACCATCCCTAGCCATTGACCATGCTAGTTGGGGCTGATGGGAGTTGTAGTCCAGCAAATATCTGGAGAGCCACAGGGTCCCTGCGCCTAAATTATATGGGACGATCACACTGCAATCTATCGATTCTATATCTTTATATTGACCTCTGTAGCATATAAAATTCTTACCCTAAAGTTACAAGATATTTTCCCCCTCCACACCTAATGTTTATACACATAAATATGAAGACTATTAAAACCAGTGTGAATTCTGAAATTATATTTAAAAAGTGACAACCTAGCAGTTCGGAAGCACATCAAAGTGCAAGTAGATAGGTACCACTCCAGCGGGAAGGTTAATGCCGTTTCCGTGTGCTGCTCTGGTTCACCAGAAGTGGCTTAGTCATGCTGGCCACATGACCCAGAAGCTGTACGCCGGCTCCCTCGGCCAATAAAGCGAGATGAGCGCCGCAACCCCAGAGTCAGTCACGACTGGACCTAATGGTCAGGGGTCCCTTTACCTTTACTATTTAAGTCTTGCTCCATGACTCAAAACCTTTTCCTGTTGCTCCAATGGATCCAACTGTGAGAAGGCTTGCAAGGCCATCAGTTGTGCAAGCGTAGTTGAGCAAATGGCATCCTGGGCCTGCGTAAAGACTTCTGATGTCACAGGGATACACAGTTGACTCATATACAAGGCAGAATTCACTTGAAGTGTTTTAGAGCCTATCTCTCCTGCAGTTTATCATCTGGTGGCCATGCAGAAATATGGGTCGCAACTGCATTTCAGCCATCCTGCTTTTGGTGTTGCAGTGAACAAATATGTCCCATCTGAAACACATCTAGTCCTCCACCCACAATTCCTCCCCCTGACAGAGTTCTGCACATTTGGAAATTACTCCTTCTGCCTATTTTTTCATCTTTCCTCCCTTTGCACATCATGATTTAGTGCCTAACATGTAGTAGTAGATGCAGGGCAAAAATTGTGAGAAAAGGTCAGAGCACCCAAGATGTTGGGCATGCAGATGGGAGTGCAGGAGTTTCTGAGGAGAGGTTTGGTAAATATTGATGGCTGCCATACAGATGGGCTTTATATTGTGACTAACATGCTCATAAATAATAAATAAAAGGATGACAGCAAAATGAACGACATAGCAGAATTTAAAGCCAGAATTTATTTTACTGAATCTTTTGTGGGATTTTATTGAAATCAAATAATGCAGTGCTGGTGAATCTGTGGCCCTTCAGATGTAGTTGGACTCCCAACTCTCAGCCTCAGACAAGGACTGTGGAAATTCTAAGCCAGTGGCACCTGGAAGCCCACAGGTTCCCACCCCTGAAATAACAAGTGTTATAAGAAAAAAACTGCTCCTTTCCCCTTATGGGTACCCAAGAGCCCATATAGAGTCCTTTTGTAGGTTCTCTATCAGTAGGAGAAATAACAGAGGCCAACCAGAGAATATTGAGAATCAAAGCAGCTATTAAGCCTGATCTTTATTAAACAGTTGCAACAGGGTCCTCACTCACCACAAGGAGGAAAGAGGAGGAACCCAGAACAAAGGTGTGCCTGCCCTCATATAGACTTTTGAAATTGCCCAACCTCAAACTCCAGACCATCCCTAAAAACTTCATACATACATAACAGAAGGGGTGCAGCCCAGGACCACCTCCCCCAATGCATCATACATACAGAGTATATTATCTTCCGTGTGGCAGGTTACTTGATTGCATTACAGTATCTGGGTTTTGGCCACTCTTTTGTTATTATAACTACTTCATTCCAGAATCCAGGTCACAGACTCACCCTGTTCACACCTTAAATGTGCCCTTAAGGTAGGATTTGTGAGCACAGAGACAAGGGGGAGGTTTTTTCCCATTTCCTTCAACCTTGCAGAGAAATATTTGAGGTCATTTTGGGAAAGACAAAATGGTTTCAGGACTTTTCTGTGGGTTTCAGACATGTGCTTTACATATTTGTATGTGTTTGCTTGGTACATTTATGAACATCTATTATATATACAGTATATGTAAGACCTTAAAATTCTTATAACATGAGTATGTGGAAATTCAGATCTATAAACCATTCTGATAGAATGACTGGATCTTATGGAATGACTTTTTGAAGTGATCCTGTAAGTGGGTTGCTGTAAATAAGCTACCAAAATAAATTGATTTGTGGTGGCTTTTCCACACCATTATTCTTATTTCAAACAGAACTTCAGTATTTTAAAACTTCCTATTTCTTCTCCCATGTCTACTAAAACTTCCAACTAGCGTTTCAGTCAGATCATTTTTAGAAGTAACATGGTAATCTGTGTATCAACAAAGATTCAAATAACAATTGGTGATAAGACTGACACGGGACATTCTGAGGTGCCACTCTGTCTTGTTCCCAGCTCCCCATGACAACACAAAAGGCTAATAATACACCAGGGGATTTCCTAGGACCATTTTCTTGCAGTTGCAAAACAAACATGCAAATTCTCCCACCCTCAAATAAAAACAAGGTGTTGGTGTTTCTGCAATTAGTTTTGTTTTTAATTTGAAACTCAGTTTTAGTAAGTTTCCTTACCTGATTCTTTGCCTTCTTAAAAACAAATATATAATCCTGCAGAAAAACATAGGACAAGGTCCTACTCAGGAAGCAAAGTGTACAAAGGATGTTGTAGCAATTTGCTTCTTTAAGCCTAGAACCTGAAGTCAACATATGTCGCCACAGAGCAAGTTCCTGCCAAATTTCCTGGAATGCAGGTGTAATCTTTAACTTTTACCTTGTTGACTGTAAAGAAAGAGTGTCCTGTGACTTCAGTCCTTTTGGTATCTACATTTCAATGGACAGGGTAGTTAAAGTAAAATTACTTTGGGAACACATGTGCCAAAAATACTATTTGCAAAGGAAGGAAATCCAGACCATACCAATCTTTATAAACCTGGATTACAAAATTGCATCCTAAGAGTCACATCTGATTGTTTAAAGTCCCAGTCACCAGGGATTTGCAATGCTTCAGGGCTTTGTCCCCATCCTTAATTAAATTCGCTTTAAAAGAGAATATATTTGAAAAGTGTCAAATCTAAATGAACTAAGATATGCAAATAAACTCTGTGAATAGCTTCACCACATCCCATTTCCATTTCAGAATAAAAGGCCAAATTCACCTCTAGCACCTATTCTTTTAATGTTATGAACATTACAATATGAGCATACAATATTTTGAAGCAAGAGCTTACATTTTTCTGGACATGAAACACCCTTCCCTAGGCCCCAGCTAAAGACCTATGAGATTTCACATATGGAATATACATCAATATCACAGGTATCATGGAGGAGCTATGGGGTGTGTTTTTTTATATTACCCCTTTCCTGATTCTACACCTGGGATGGGGAAATTTTTTTCAGCATTAAAACTGCATTCCTTCCTGCAGGACCTGCATGCCAGTTGTGGGTGGGGCAGGAGGCAAAGGTAGATGGAATAATGGGAAATGATTGTACTTTTGTATAGTAGGCTACATTCCAGCCATACAAAACTCAAGATCTGTTATCACAATTCAACGATGCATTCTAGCCAGCCAAAAGTATTCAAGGGGTGTGTGGAGCAGGCAGGTGAGCAAAAAAATAGATTAGTTAGTAAATAAGCCAGACTCACACAGTACACCAAGGTGCCTCCCCTCAAACATAATCCAATACAACAGTAGAGCAAAGGCTGCTCAGGACACCCTGGCCTGGCAGACTTTCAGAACTTGCTGTTGATAAACTCAGAGAGAGGACAACACTACACAGGCTCAGAACCAGAGCAGAACAGAACACGTGATTCTGACTTGCTGATAGGATGGCCATAGCTCAGCCCTATTACCTTCGTTCACGGTGGGTGATCTGATATGCTAATTCCCTTGTCCTGAATGTCGAGTACTACCAATCATAGGAGTCAACTCCTTGGGCCTGAGATCCCTCCCTCCCCCCAATTTTTTTTTGAGGGTGCTGAACACCCCCCCAGTTGATGGGCATTGCCACTCAAATGTTGTGAATGTACCAACTCTTGTGATCGCTTATGCAGAGCAGGGCTTACCTGCCCCCCTCAATGTTTTATTCAAGTTGGCATCCCTACTGCCAACCAAGAGAGCTAGATTAGGATCATAAAAGCCTGATGGATGAGGCGACTGGTCCATCTAGTCCAGCATCCCGTCCAACCAGTTGCCTATGGGAAATCCAGAAGCAGGACCTGAACGCAACAGGACTCTCCACCCTTGTGAATCCCAGGAACTGGCATTCAGGGAATTGCATGGATCTGGTGCCCAGGCAAAATGTCAGTTTTTAAAAAAGTGCTCAGGTTCTCCGCCTGAGACATTTTTGGGAGGGACCTGCTCAGAGCTATGTTTTATGATTGGTTGCACTCTGCAGAGAGCCAACTGGCAACAAAAGCAGAAACATATCCCGGAATCCCTGTAAATGGAAACTGAACTCATATAGCATGAGCACAAGCGGAAGGAAAGCCCCTGGGCGGTGTCTTATCCTTGCAGGCGCAGCCCTGGTAGAAAAATCAGCCTGCATGCGCAGCTCTAAAGTAGCACCGGCAGACCCAGATCCTTTCCCCGGACTGCTTTTCTGCTCATTGATTCTGCACAACCCTCCTGCCTTTCCCAAAAGCTCAGCGAAATGCACACTGCGCATGCGTACTTTTCTCACTGCCCCGCCACCCCCGGCCTCCTCCTAGAGCCTCGCCTCTTCCCTCTCCCTCCGCTGTCACGTGACTAGCCGCAAAGGCTGCCGGGAGCAGGCTGACCCGGTTGTCTGGGCTCTCCGGATTCAATATGGCGGGTCTGGGCGGTCACTGAGGGGCTTGGCGGGGCGGCGGGTGTCAGCGCGGGCAGCCCAACTCTGCGCTCGTCTGCGGCGGGGATTCGGCCTCAGCGCTCGAGGCGAGAAGCGTTTCCAGGAGGAAAGGAGCGGGCTAAGCCGGCCGGAGGGGGCCGGCCCATCGCTTGGGCTCGGCGCGGCGGGCCGCCCTGTCAGTCGGCCGGAGCGATGGCCCAGCGAGTGCAGTCGGCGCAGGAGTTCCTCCAGGACTCGTTCGTGCCGTTGGTGGCCGCGCTGTGCAGCGAGGAGGCGGAGAAGGTCACCCGCAAGAACAACCTGGGCTTCTGCGAGCTCATAAAGCCTTTCTGTCGCCTCACTTCGGAAGGTCGGTGTCACCTGGCGGGAGCGGAACTGGGTTGTTTACATGGTGGGAGGGGAAGGGAGAGCCGCCTCCGGAGCACCCCTGCCGCCGCCGCCCCGTCCCTTCCGGGTGTGGGTGCTGCGAGGCAGCTGGGCGGGGGCAGTATGTACATCTCCAGAGCCCTCCGAGGCAGGAGCCCCTTTCACTGTGTGGACTTCTCCCTTTGCTGAAGTTCCGACTTCAGGCAGCTGCTTCCCATACAGATCGCTTGCCAAATTCTCCCTTCTGCGAAAGCCAGGAGGGTACTTGTTCACGTGGGTGATGGCATCTTGTTTACTCTGAAGGGGGGAGCATTGGATCCCGCTTATGCTTTCACTCCAGCGGGGCAAATGTCTCTGAAGTGTGATGTCCAGGGGCCTTTGCAGCAACAGGGACAGCAAGTCATTAGGACCCTCGTGGGCAGAATTACGCTCTGCTGATCAATATTTTGGTTGTATTTTGTGAAAGTGGTGTCCTTTACCAATTTTCCACACTTCAGAGGTAAAAGATGACACAGAATGCCCTACAAGTGCTGGCTCAAATTAAACCCTGTTGATGTGAGCCATGCTAGTGGTTATTAACAATGGATGTGTCAGTTGTAGCCTCAGTTATATGTACTGGAGACTGCTCCCTGTGAGACTTAGGCTGATTTGCCAAAATGATTATATAATTTTGTTCCAATAGGAATATTACATATGTTTCTCAAACAAACACATAGGTGATGTTTGAAAAAGGAATAAATTACTTTAACTTGGGTGTTACAATCTAGGAAAGCACATTTAACAAAATGCTCACCTTTGCTAAATGAAAATCAGTTAGAAACATCAAGTAATTATTAATTTGTTTTGGTTTGTTTTATACATTATTGCTTTGTATTTATTATGCTATCTGAACATTAAAAACATTAAATACATTTTTAGTTGGTCAAGCAGTGTTTTTATTAAATATGCACATTTTCTGCTGCTGTAAAATGACATCTATAGATGATAATAATAATAATAATAATAATAATAATAATAATAATAATAATAATTTATTAGATAGTAATGAAATGGCTCTTGGTGAAAACAACAATTTTCAGAAGAACTGCTTTTGTATTCTTCTTCTTCTTTGCTAATGTATTACTCCAAGTAAGCAGGACATTGCTTAAAGGCACATGAAACAGCAACTTTGTTGAAGTTAAGTAGGCTTGGATCTGGTCAGTGCTTAGATGGGGGACCATCACTGAGCTCAGTGTATTCTGTTATCATGAAAGAAATATAGGATGTGAATGTAACAAATAAATGCCGATACATTTAGGATTAAGCTGTTGGAATTCTAATTGTGCACATGCTAGGCTCGTTTGAAATATACACATATGTGGACAACTTTGCTGCCCCAAAGAAATCATAAGTTCTTTTACCACTCTTCTAGGATAAGTGATGGCCACTTCCTGCCAGCATTTCTGAGTACAGTGGTACCTCAAGTTACATATGCTTCAAGTTACATACGCTTCAGGTTACAGACTCTGCTAACCCAGAAATAGTGCTTCAGGTTAAGAACTTTGCTTCAGGATGAGAACAGAAATCGTGCTCCGGCGGCATGGCAGCAGCAGGAGGCCCCATTAGCTAAAGTGGTGCTTCAGGTTAAGAACAGTTTCAGGTTAAGTACGGACCTCCGGAATGAATTAAGTAGTTAACCTGAGGTACCACTGTACTGTATTTTATACCAGCTTTTGTGAATAAGTACAGTGGGGATATCCCAGCTCCCTCCACAAACAGAAGGAGCCCTTTAGTTGCAGGTGGGGATGACATCCACACCATTATATTTCTCATTTTATAATCACTGTATCGATGCAGTCTTTAATTATGTTTCTTACCTGTGCTGAACCTTCATGGATGGAAACAATAAGTAATTACAATTTGTAGGTAAGGAGTATGTTAAGCAGGGGTGTTGGCATACTGCCTACCAAACTGTATTTTAAGTTGCTCCTTTCATTTGCACCTTGTTTTAATGTGTCCAGAATTGGGAAATGTGAATTAGAGGCAGGCAGTTTTTCAGCTGGAGATCTACCAAGAATTTCTGCAATTCACAGATGTGCTTGTTTGGAAACATAATGAACAGGAATACAAAGTTGAGGGCAATTTCTGTGAATTTGGAAAAGTGTCAGATAGGAGACTAGAAATGGAAGGATGTCAAAGTGACAAGTTTAGTTACAAACTAAGAATATGAATACCAGTTTTTCTTATGATTTATAACTCATCCAAAGGTGTTCAGGACAGGTAAAAACTGCTTAGATATAGTGATTGTAAAATGAGAAATATAATGGCGTAGATCTCACACACACCAAACTGCAACCAAAGGGTTCCTTTTGCTTGTTGAGGGACTTCCACTGTTGGAGGCAGTATGTGCCTGCGTCCTTGTTGCTGGGAATCACAAGTGGGAAGAGTGCTGTTGTACTCAGTTCCCTGCTTTCAGATTTCCCATAGACACATGGTTGGTCACTGTGAGAACAGGATGCTGGAGTAGATGGGCATTCGCATGATCCAGCAGGCTCTTATGTTCTTACTCATTGGAGGCTTCCAGTGGAGTGCAGAGGTTAGTGGCCTCCCCCCCCCAACCCCATTTCCCTTGCAGTCCCTGCATTACTTCTCTGAAGGCTCCTCCAACTCTTTGGAGAAGATTTTCAAGGGGATTCAGGTGGGAGTGAAGAACAGCAAAAATGATTTTCCTTTTCCACTGACAGAGCATCCTATTAGTGGAACTCTTGATCATGAGATGTTGCTGCCATTGCAACCTTCATATGGATCCAAGCCATTATTATAACATATACAATATGTACTGCAAAATAATATACTCATAATAGTTTCCTGCATTAAATTTATCAAAACAGAAGGGCATGTTGTAGATAGGGCTAGGGATATAGGATTCTTTTTAATAGGAGAAGGATGTTTATTAAAGATATTTTGACTGTTTGGTTATCCCTATAAAGTATAGGTTTATTGTAATGGGAATGCCTAAAATAGTATTTACCTTTGGCATTAACTCATTGTTACTAATGAGCTTTTCAAACAGAAAATTTTCCACAAAAAAGAAGCACGAGAAAATTTTCCAGTGCTTGACATCACTGACAGAAATTTCTACTATTGAAAACATAAATCACTTTTAAAAATGACATTTTGAATATTTTGTGAGGAGATCTTGCTTGCTTTTTCAAAAATTTTGAAGATACTATATGTTTTGATTTTTTTTACAGAAATGTTGTGTATTGAGCATTGCTTCAAAGCAGACTAGTCTAACACAGCTATTTTCTTACTTTAGTGCACATGAGAGATCCCAACAACCAACTTCACATAATCAAAAACTTGAAAATTGCTGTCAACAACATTATTACACAGCCGCCTCAACAAGGAGCCATTCGGAAGCTTCTGAATGATGTTGTGACTGTTAGTCAGCCTGCTGAAGGATTAGTAGCTAATGTGATTACTGCGGGAGATTATGATCTCAACATTAGTGGTATGTAACAAGACATTGAAATGTGTTAAAGATTTTATATTTTGTTTTGTTTTATATTTTCCCAGTGAGAGACATACAGCTTGCAGCTTTGAAAACTTGATATTGCACAGTGATTAGTTACTACAGAAAAATACAATATAATATAACAGGTACTGTTCTGCACACATAGGTAGTTTGGGAATTGTTCAGGATAAAAATACAATACAATACTGCATGTGCAGGAAATGTGGGAATTCTTCAGTTTCGTTGCCTATTGCTATGTTGATAAAATTCCATATATACTGTTGGAGTTGGGGTTTTTTTAAAAGCAGCAGACAGTGTTAGAAATGCTCCTACTTTGATTTCCACTCTCCATTGCTACTTATTTTCAATTTTGGAGTTGTTAATCCCAGCCAAATTTCTTTGAAGGGCAGAGGTACATGTTGTAAGATAAATGGTTGTTGCCCAAAATGTTGAGCTTTATCCTTCCCACCCTGTAACATTTAACCATATACTTAGTGCTGTCATCAAAGTTAGCATTGTCCCACTATTGCTTCTCACCATTACTGCCCTCTCATCAATATTCATCTGGCTCATAGAATGCAGATGGACAAATAAGCAGCTGCAGGCCCCAGCCCCCATCATTTCTCCAAGTGAAGTGGCTGTCAGTAGTGAGGAAGGGTTCTGGTTCTGTGAGAAGCTTGCACCCCATAGATATGAAAGGAGCAACTTGCCTGATTTCTGCCCCGCCCTCCAAAAGGCAGCATAAGCTTTCTGCATACCTATGTGGTATTACCTATGCATACCTATGTGGTATTATGTAATGAGATTCCTCAGTCCACATCACTGACAGTGTCCAGGAAGTGCAGAATGCATTTATGTCAGGCCACAATTTTTTACTGTATGTTAAGAAAGGGGTGAGAACTCTAGGGTAACATACAATTCTGCCCTTAGATATAATTACTTATGGAAAAAGTGTTGAAACCTGTACTACTTTTCTGTAGAAAAGTTGTGCAAGTGGATGTCTACTCTTGTAATGGGATTTCCCCTTCTCCTTGCAGCTCCCTGTGTTTCCCTTTCCCCCAAAATAGACTGGAGCACATTTTTTGGAGGGGATTCTGGAACGGGTGTGGGGAAGGAGAGGAAGGGAAAGTCTTGTTGTTTGAGTGGAAGTTTGTTTGGCTGGTGGATGGTTACCATTGGATGTTGCCCATTAGATCTTACTCCCTTTAGCTAAAAGTTCTCTGCTTTTTGCTTAATGGGAGTAAAAATTGTTTTCTAAAAAACATTATTATATAGTGTCTGGATTAAGGGAGGCGAGGTAAGTGAAGTTTCATAAAACTAAAATATAAACATATTTCTAGAAATGCAACCTTCCTATTCATACTATTTGTAACATGTACGGTAAGTGAAAGCAGATCATAGTTGTTCTTTGTGTGGAGTGAAATCTGTACAAATTAAAATACATCCTATCATTTTTATTACACTTGTATTGCTGTAGCTCTCTGTCTGTGGCTGTTCATATACAACACATCCTCATTCTTTATTTGTACTATGTTGAAATCCAGTTAATGTGTGTAAGTTGCTTTAGATGACTCAAGTTTAGTTCTGTGTATTCACTTGACTGCTGACTAAGTAAAATTATTGAGTTTTTGTTTTTTGCATGGTCAGTATTTTGGTAGTTGAAGACAAAAATCCTGCAAAGGCTGTCTTTAAGGCTGTATTTCTAGAAACACCTAGCTAGAAATTAAGCTCCGTGGAAATAATTTTATTACCTGAACCTTTCTGCTTGAAAATCTCCTGTACATGCATCACTTTTCTAGATTACCCCATGTCTTTATGTAATCATACTGTATGTATAAGCAGCAAATGAAGCATAGAGAAAATTGTTGTTATTTCTTTGTTTATTTATATTGTGTAACCAGTGTGCATGACCTTTCAGAGTATATGAGGACAAGTCTACCCAAGAAACTTTGAATGGAATTCAGTGCTACTGTAATACAATTGTTCTGTCAGCGCAAACATTTCTACTTGCATATGGAACTATATTTCCTCTCCTCTCATGTGCTATTCTGGGGGTTTTCACGATCCTTCAGAGCAGTTTTTTTTGAGGGTGGGAAACCCCATTGTGTTAGTGGAAGTCCTTGCACTGGCTTGTGCTAGTGCATCAGGTTAGCTACAATTGAAAATTTGAAAGTGTAAGCAAGTGTTTTATCACTTTATCTACCAACACTTTATGCCAAAGTCTTCATGGAAAAAGTGTAATTTGAAGGAAAGGAGATGTAACATCATACAGATGTTCTTGGAGGCTGTTGAAGCACATGGAGCAGCATGAGAGAGAAAGGGCAACATGTTCTGAGGCTGCAGGAGACCTTCAGGTGGTAGAAAATGGTGGAGCTTTAGAAGGAAAGAGCATGGGTAGGGCTGTTGGGATATAAAAAAGAATATGTAATGGGGTGTGAGGGTGAACAAGGCCATGAAAAAAAGGACAAGGAACTTGTACTGGATCTAGGAGCGGAGATGTAACCGACATAGGATTTAAGAAGTGTTTTATCTATTTATCTGTTTATTTATTAAATTTATATACAGTGGTGCCCCGCAAGACAAACGCCTCGCAAGACGGAAAACCCGCTAGACGAAAGGGTTTTCCCTTTTGGAGGCGCTTCGCAAAACGAATTTCCCTATGGGCTTCCTTCGCAAGACGAAAGCCCATAGGGAAATCTCCGGGACAGCGGGGAAGCGCAGCGCATCTTCTCCACTGTCCTCGGACCTCCTCCGAAGGCTGGCGGCGGGGCGGAGAGACCTCCTCCCGCCGCCAGCCTTCGTTTCTCCGCTATCCCGGACGGCTTTTGAAGGCAGGCGGGGGGGAGCAAAGACTTTCGCCCCCCCGCCGGCCTTCAGAAGAGGTCCAGGACCTCTTCTGAAGGCCGGCGGGGGGCAAAAGTCTTTGCTCCCCCCTGCCTGCCTTCCCGGGGGCCTCCACTGCCGCCCGCCAGCATTTTAAGATCGCCCGGACAGCGGAGAAGTTTTTTAAAATGCTGGCGGGCGGCAGCGGAGGCTTCGCTGCCGCCCGCCAGCATTTTAAAATCGCCCCGGACAGCGGAGAAGTCTCCGCTGTCCCGGGGTTTTTTAAAATGCTGGGGGTGGGAAGAAAAGCCCTTGTCCCCCCCCCCCAGCCTTCAGAAGAGGTCGGGGGACAGACTGTCCCCGGACCTGGTCTGAAGGCGGTTTCCATAGGAACGCATTGATTGATTTTCAATGCATTCCTATGGGAAACCGTGCTTTGCAAGACGAAAAACTCGCAAGAAGAAAAAACTTGCGGAACGAATTAATTTCGTCTTGCGAGGCACCACTGTACCATCTTTTGTCATGATCAGAGCTAATGACATAGGCAGCAGAGTACTAGATAGATATGATGAGACTGAGAGACAATTAAAGTCTAGAGAGGAAAAGATTGCAGCAAACTAGGTCAGGACTAGTCTACTTCGTTTTTGCAGAAGGAAAGGATTATAATTTTTCAGTGTTGCAAGGGGAAAAGCTATGGTTTGAATATGAGGAACAGAGATGATCTAGGCATCAAAATGTGACTGGATGGTAATAATGCCAGTGAGAAAGGAAAGGTTAGAAGAAGTAGGGCTTTGGGGAAAATATGAGGTTTGGTCTTTGAACATAAAAAGTTTGAGGCTATAACAAAGCATTCAATGAGAAATATCAAAGAGGCAGTTGCAGATTGGATTGGAGTGGGGAGGGACAGCTTGCGGGTGGGAGAGAGAGTTGGGTGTTGTCTGCATATAAATAGGACTGATATACATAGAAATTGATGAAATTACCAAAGGACTATGTAGAGCCAGCATTGGGAACTTGGGCCCAATGTATTTCTCCAGGCTCCTTTCTGGCGGTCAGGACTTTACCTATGCTGGATACCCTCACCCCAGCCCTGCTGCTCATTATCTTTGAGTGTTTTTGCCCGGCTGGAATGTGTTCTACAACTGTGATCATGTCTCTTGCTTGCCAAATGGAGAGATGCTTGTGTGTGTGTGAAACCTCTGATTTTGTTTGGAATATAGCCTACTGTAACAGTTTGTTGTTCTTTGGCTTTGGACCCACCACTGGCATGCAGCTTCTGGAAGGCTTGTCGTGATGGAATTTGGCCTTGAGCTTGATTGAGAATGAATAGCAGGGGGCTAAGAACAGATCACGGAGAGACCCCAACAGAGGGAGAGAAAGGATCTTTTATTGAAAGTAGGACTCCAGTAAAACCCAGAACTGGAGCACTAATATGTCACTCTCCACTTAGAGGATATGGTGTGAACTACAACTCGTGTTCCTGAGATATTTCTCAGGGGGGGAAAGCTGGTGTGAACAGACTTTTTGAATAGTATGTTTTAAAATACACCCAGTATTTTAAACACTTAAAAAAACCCCAAAAGACATTTTATATGCCCTTTGACATGTCTGAAGTATCCTACTCAGAGTATTAAATATATTTAAAAATGCATGGCCAATGGAAATGCTTTGGACATGTCAAAAGGCATGACTACTGACCATGTGAGATGTTTCATTATTTGTTCCTGAAAAACTCTTGTCTCTTGTTATAGTTAGTTGGGTAATCAGTTGTCTGTGTTAGGTGTATGTCTCGGTTTTGCAAGTACATTATTTTCTGTATTCCAGTTAATTTTTTAAAAAAATATTATTTCATTTTATAATGTATAAAAAACAGAAAAATTGTAGCAGCAGACAAAAATTAAAAGATGCAAAACAAAACTATAAAATTGCACATGAGTTAAAATAACAAAGTCCAAGGAAAGGCTATCAACTTTATCATATCATTAAGTATAGTTTTAGAGTTGCTAGGCTTGTGATGAGTGTATGTGTGTGTTCCCATGACTGATGATACCTGTTGAATGGAGAAAAATATAGTTAATATAGATTGTTAATATTGTTTAGGTAGGTTTTTTTAGTGATTGTGCTGGGATTGTCTTAAAAGTGTGTTCGAAGTGATGTTCTCTGTCTGGCTGATTTTCCCTGCTCCCCCCACCCCCATGAAATGCTATTTTCTCTTTTGAACAATATCTCCATTTAAAGAAGAAGATGAAGACTTAGGGGTGTGTGAATATTTCAATGAGCATAAGTCTTTTTTGTAATAAGCCCCAAAATAAAAATGCTACTTGGGTATTTTTTTCAGTAAGCAACTGTTGTAGATTGATATTGTAAATATCCCATATGTTTAAACCTAGTTATGTTCTTAGTAAGACACAGTTACCCTATAACAAATGCTTGAAATATTCAATGTTACTGAATAAATTCTGTCAAATACACCTGCTTTCTCCGGAGCTTTAAAATATTCAAATTCTGAAGAGAATGAGCATGATGCAGTTCGCTCCAGACAAATTGCTCTTGGTTTTATATTTTTCATGTTTGGTTCTGAAAGTGTCTTATGTCCAGAGACATCAGTGGAAGCTTAAGGGTTTACATGTATCCAGTAGATTTTCACATGCATATGAAGGAGGCTTCCTAAACCTGAACGAAGATGAAATGTATACAAACTACCTGCTTAGTTTAATACTTCCATGTTTTCTCTGTCAGATCTCTCAGTTAAAGCTAGTGTTCCTTGGTACAGTAGTTGGAAAGACACACTGATGGGACTGAACACATCCACGTTTTATTCAGGTATTTTGTGTGACTGGTGTGGGTTTCCTAAATAGTCCTTTCTATTCCTTTGTTATGCAACCCATCCATCTATTCTTACCACCCTACTACACTTTTCTTAGAATAGATTTCATTCCTAGAAATAAATATTGGTGATGGTTGCTGAGATCTTATCTTTTCTTTTAAATCCAATTGTGATTATTCCATAGATCAAAATGAAGAGAAAATCATTCTCTATTGACTTGATTGAGCATGCTGAATTTTAAATTGCTTGACTTTCCAGAAATGCTTGCCTCCTTTTCCTTTTTTAAACAATAACTTTTTTGTGATAATTGAAAATAATAGTAGTGTTCAGATGAGTTGTAAGCTGCTGTTCACCACCCACCATATTTTTCTTAGCTGGGTTGTTGTTAATCATATTTTGTTTTAGGGTCTTGTAGTTTATAGCTTAACAAATGTATAGTTGCTCATTTGTTGCATGGAATTTGGATGTCTTTCACTACAACAGCATTCCTGTTTGTGATATATTGCATTTGCCCAGCACATTATTCCTGGGAAAAGTTAGTTCTTTTCATTGTTAACAAGGCTGTTATGATTAATCTTGAATGTGATTGTGTGATAAACAGAAACTTAATTGACAGTGCTCGAGACATCAGTGGTTACTATTTTCTCCCTTGTCAAACCACTCAGGCTGCAAAGGGGACTTGCATGGAAGGAAGCATTGGTACTGAAACTAAGGGAGAAGTCTGCTGGTTTCCTCTTCCCTAAACTGATTATGTGTTTGGCAATTCCACTCTTTTCTGTCTCAGATGGAGGAAGCAGGCACTAGGAATTTGAATTCATTTTAGACTTTGGTTAGATCCAGAATGTGCAGAGGATTTTTCTCTTTTTTTATATTTCTTGCTATTAGGTCTTCAGTTCTCTCTCTCCCCTTTGTTGAAATCTCTTTGGGAGACATATCTTGGAAATGTATTGGATAATTCACAGTGGGGAAACTCCCTTTAGCAGAGGTCGTAATTTGGCCTATGAGGTATTTTTCTCTATGCTGGGCCAGGTAAAGATGCAACTGCAAAGGAACAATTGGGAGCTTTAAACTGTGCTTCCAATTGTTCCTTGACAAGTGGGGCTTGTATTTAGGTAAAGGTAAAGGACCCCTGATAGTTAAGTTCAGTCGCGAATGACTCTGGGGTTGTGGCTCTCATCTCGCTTTACTGGCCGAGGGAGCCGATGTTTGTCCGCAGACAGCTTTTCCGGGTCATGTGGTCAGCATGACTAGGCCACTTCTGGCGAAACCAGAGCAGCACACGGAAACGCCATTTACCTTCCCGCTGGAGCGGTACCTATTTGTCTACTTGCACTTTTTGGTGTGCTTTCGAACTGCTAGGTTGGCAGGAGCTGGGACTGAGCAACAGGAGTTCACCCCGTTGTGAGGTTTTGAACCGTCGACCTTCTGATCAGCAAGCCCTAGGCCCAGTGGTTTCGACCACAGCACCACCCGTGTCCCTTGGGCTTGTATTTAGCACCTTTTAAATTTGGCACCAAATGCATGTCCACTGGAATTGGTTCCACTTGGACACTCCCAATCAGAGCTCCCAATTAGAACCAGTAGCTACCAAATATGACACTTCAAGGTTAACTTGCTTTTAACTTACCTTTTACCTAGACATGCATAGTGAAAAACAGGCTGTCCTGATCTTCCTTGATGTACAAAAAGTGTTGGATAGTATTTCCTGGGTATTTATGAAATAAATACTAAAAAAATGGAACCAGGTGATGCTTTCTTAAGAAGTATCAATGCTTTATATAAGGAACAAAGGACAAATATTATAGTAAATAATATTATTTCAGAAAAATGTAATATCATGAAAGGAACAAGACAGGGATGTCCGCTCTCCCCGCTATTATGTATTCTTACCCTAGAATTTTTATTGCAAAATATAAGAAATGATGATAAAATTAGTAGAGTAAGAGTGGGCAGACAAAACTCTAAAACAAAACGTAGACAGTATAGTCTTAACTTTGGAACAATCCTTAGAAAGAGTAGTAGAGTTAGTAAAAGAGATAAATGAATTTGGAAAATTGGCAGACTTTAAAATAAACAAAGGTAAAACCAAAATGTTAGTTAAGAACATGGATTATCGCTCTAAAAGGAAATTAGAGGGAATTACCAGCTGGAAAATAGAGAAAAAAGTGAAGTATTTAGGAGTGTGGTTAATGGCAAATAATCATATTTACGAGGCCAATTATATGAAGACTTGGAAAGAAATGAAAAAAGACCTAGATATATGGGGCAGAATGCATTTATCTTTAATAGTGAGAATCTCAGTGATAAAAATGAATATCCTCCCAAAAATGTTATTTCTGTTCCAAACGATCTCAATACTTACACTGGGCTGGATTAGGCCCCTGAAAGGACTTTGGGCATGCCTGGTGTAAACTAATGAAAATAATTTAGTAGAGTAATAAAACACAGTTAAAAGGATAGTAGATAGGAAACCATGGAAAGAGTGGAAGGGAAGTTTAACTCAAGATATATGTGATTTAAAGAATCTTGGAAAAATATAGCTATGTTATTATTACTATCATATGTTTATGACCTATATCCATGGTATTTATTTATTTTTATGTATGACTGTAACATAGTATGTGTTGACGATGCGATATAACAGAAAAACAAATAAAAGGACACAAAAACTTGCTTTTAACTTACTTTGATCAATATTTTAACGGGCATTCTTTATTCTACATAAACTGCTTATAAGTTATGGATGATTAAGTGGTATATAAATACGTAAGTAAAATATACCGTATTCAAATTTTGAGATTAGAAACCGCTACAATACCTTTTCTCGAATGAGGAGCAGTATGATGCTTTAGTGATTAACAATATTACTTTTGAAAGTCATAGGAGGACTTCTTTTTCTGATATTTTGTGTCTTGGATATAAAAAGTGATGATGGTTATGCTGAATGGTACAAAAGTGGTGTTTACGTTCCAGAATTAAAATATTAAAATACTGGGTTATGCTTTAACAAATGAATTGGGCCTTTACTTGAATGTGAAGTGCCTGTGAGCTTGTAATGGTATTTCTAAGAAAACAATGCATTTACAGTCTTAAAAAAAGAAAAAAAGATGAAATCTATACACTGGGTTTACTAGAAGGGAATAGTAGTCTTGGTTACTATACTTGTGGTGGTAACAAATCCTGAAAGGTGTTCATCTAACCACAACCATGACAACAAAACAAATTCCTGTTCTATGTTTTTCAAATTTAGAATTATACTATACCTATAACCAGTTTCATTATGATGAGCGTGTGATTTTAGTAACTTTGAATGTACATGACAAGTTGTGACCCTGCTAGACCCATACCTAGCACCTGGGGAAAACAGCCTTGCAGGCCTAATGAGTTCTGCAGCCTGGAGGTTCCCTTTGCCAGTGTTAGATCAATGTATGCTAGCTATATTGCTTCTTGTTTAATATATTTTGATTGTTCTCTGAATAACCTCAGCATTAGATCAGGTTTCTTAAGTGGAGCTTACTTGTAATTTTGAATTGCAAAAAATGATATAACTGATTTTAGAATTTTAACAAAATGTAGGCTGCAATCATATATACACTTGCATTGTAATGCAATTCACCAATCCATTTTACATTTTGTTATTCTGTAGTTTTAAAAAAATCAGTGAATCTTGTATTGGGGCCCTGCTGTCACCTCTCCTCCCTAATTCTCTCCTCCCCTTTTTTCTCCCCAGCCATTTCCTCAACTCCTTTGTATGTTACAATGTCTTGCTTAGTCTTAGTTGTTTCTGTTTATTTGAAAACTGAATAAAAATTATGTATACACACACTTAAGACTACAGACATCAGACTACATCTCATTGAACTCAGTGGAGCTGACTTCTGAGTAACTTACAGATAGGGTTGCCATATTTCAAAAAGTAAAAACCAGGACACTCCAAAATTGTGTTTGTTTTTTTAGCGTGAATTCTGTTTTCGTTCAAATAAATGTAAAATTCCCAAAACTATACTACTGATAAGCTGTAGTTGTACAGGCATGGCAGTATGAATCAAATTGTATGGGAGTAGCAGAGGGGCGAAATCTTTCTGATGTTGCAGTATGCCGTGGGATATATTGTGAACCATATGAATGAAATCTTCATTAGCTTCCCTTTCCTTATGAATTGCAATCGTGAAAATAGTTTCTTCTAATCTTTGTCCAAATCATACTGCAGAAGTGCTCAATAACTAATTACTACTGCTGTTAAGCTTGATAACTTTTTCCAAGACCTCTCCTGCTGGCAGTTAAGTTGTCTACTTTTTTTTTTTTTAATGGCAGAGTAGCTTGTCTCTTCATTTTAAATGTTTCTGTAATATCTTTTTAATTTATTTCAGCTACCACTCCATGGTTTGAGGCTTATCGAGAGAGCTTTCTTCAGTCTATGCCACCATCAGACCATGAATTCCTAAACCACTATGTAGCCTGTATCCTTTGGAACAGAAAGATAAATGTATGTTGTATATAAGATGCTTCTGTCCTACATCTGCTAGTAAAGAAGCTTGTTAAAAAAGTGGGAAACTGCAACAAAGCAATTCTGTTTCCAAAATCTTTATCAGAATTAATTGGGAGTATATGGTGCTTAAGGTCATTTTGTTTGTGTTTGAATTGTTTGATACTGAATTGCTAATAATTGCAGCAAAAACCTGCATTATTCAGAACCTTAAATTACTCGGTTTTTATGTGTTCTTGCTTGTACAGAACCCCTTTGCACCTCCCTTTGAACGAGCCACAATTACACCAGGAAGCCCTTAATTAATTTCGTTGTCCCTGAGAGGGGGCAATGACAATAAAGATATTATTATTATTATTATTATTATTATTATTATTATTATTATTATTATTATTAACAACTATGGTTTCACATACATTTCATCTGTGGTTTTCAGCTTTGGAACAAGCCAGGATATTAATTCTTGGTTTGAACTTTTGTAATATCCTGGCTTGTTCCGATGCTGATAAACATAATTGGAGGCTTCCTGGTTTAATCACTGCTTGCAATATGAGGATTGTAGCTGGGTGAGGATTCTTGGGTACAGACCAACTTTTAATACTTTATCAAAGAATAATCTTGCAGTCATTTAGCTAATGGTAGCATAGCAAACAGACTGCAACGAGCCCATCATTTATACAACATTATTTTTAGACAGTATTTTATCTTCTGTTAGCTGCCACCTGTCTTGCTAAAGATGGATTATTATTATTATTATTATTATTATTATTATTATTCACAAGTGACTTACTTGTAGCTTTTCTTTAGATGTAATTTAGGCATAGGTTTAAAAGAAGCACTGAAGTTGTTACTGGAACAATACCCAAGCATTAACTAGTTCTTGGTTAACTTGTGAACTTGTGGTTCATCCTTAATGTCAACTAAGGTATGCTCGTGGTGTCATCTAGTGAACCTGAACCTGTGGAACAGTTTTTAAAGCTTTCACAAGAGCAGCATCAGATTCAACATAGTAATGAATACTCTTATCCAAAATGGTTCATTCCAAACACCCTCAAATACTATGTGTTGTTGCACGATGTGAGTTTAGGAGAGGAACAAAGGTGAGTAGGATTGTCTAAGGGCTTCTCTGACACTTTATAAGATTTCTGAAATGCCGATTTTAAACTTGCTAATGTCTACATAGTTTAAGATAATTCCATTGTTCTCAGTTCTTGAACATACAGGTGTAATTCTTTCTGGTGTACAAAAACTATGTGTCTAATATAACTTGCTGTAACAAGCATAAATCATGTAGGACTATGCCGCTATAAATAACCCAAAAGAGAGAGCTGTATTCTTTTAAAGTAAGTAGGTTAAATCAGATATTTTGGTCATGGAGGATTCCTAGATAAAGTGTGATTCCTCTGGCTCATGTTAAGGAAATTCTTTTAGGGTTTTGTGTTCTAAGTCATACATGTTTTTTCCTTTAGAATAAAAAATGGTGCTTTTTCAGAAAAATTCATGAGCTCTTCCATGAAGCAGTCAGGAGAAATGCAAGTGCTTGATATTGCAAAACACTCTAAAAGTTTGTTATTTAGTACCTTCTGCTACCATTGTGTACAACTGGGATGTGTGCATTTTTTAAATAGGAAATTGGACTTTTCAAATGGTTGTCTGCAGTTAGTCACTAGGACCAGAATTAGCCCGTAACAATATAAAACATAAACTGGTGAAAGAGTTTTTTTGCAAATGTGTTGCTACTCTTAACCTGACTTTACAATAGTAACCTTCGGAAAGAACTCTGTTCTGTCTTAAAAAAAAAAAAGTGCTCAGGGTGGGGCGATTTACAAAATGGCATGTGCCAACACAATTTTATGCCGTTTATTGCTGTCCTGGCACTGCAGACATATTACATGGATGCTACAGGGAAGCTGACTCCTACAGATATTTCACATTAGAATTGGCTTGAACATAATGGGTTAGATAAGGGGTCAGCAAACTTTTTCAGCAGGGGGCCGGTCCACTGTCCCTCAGACCTTGTGGGGGGCCGGACTATATTTTGAAAATAATAATAATGCAAGAGCACAATGAGCCCCAGTGGCTGCTTACCTGTGTCTTGCAAGCAGCAGGGGCTGGCGGCGGTGGAGGGATGATGAACGGCATGCGAAAGGGCTCTGGAGAGGGGCTGCTTAAAACGGCTGCTGCTTGAGCGCTACTACTGCCGGCACCAACAAAGCCCAGCCCCCTTCCTCTAGGCAGGGTGGGGAGAAGCCAGGAGGAGGGAGGAAGGTGCCGCTGCTGCCGCCATATGAAGGAGAGGGAAAGAATGTGCATGCTGGCGATCCACGCAGCGATTCCCGGACCGTCCGCAGGCCGGATCCAGAAGGCCGTTGGGCCTGATCCAGCTCGCAGACCTTAGTTTGCCTACCCACGGGTTAGATCTAAGGTAAACATGCACAGTGGAGCTAGCAGAAACAACCCTTGTTCTTTATGCACTACATTCCCAAAATCTTCTATCAGTACCATGTTTGCCTCTTCTTAAATGTTCATCTGTCCTCTTCTTTTGTTTTCAAAATCTGTCCTCTTTTGATGTTTTTATTCATGCTGGAAGCTGCCCAGATGGGCAGGGTAATGGCTACGTGAACATGCCAGGAATAAAGGTGAAGTTGCATTACCCGTCAAGAAGGATGATGTTTGAAAATATTCTGCAATACTTTACAATTTTTAGGGCTGATTCAATTTATGAAGAAATGAAACAGAGGTATGGGACTCAGGGGTGCTATTTACTTAAGATAAATTCTCGTGGGTCTAATCGAGGAGCAGACGAACAGATTCCTGATCCCTGGAGCCAGTATCTTCAGAAAAACACTATCCAAACCCAGGTATATTTTTTTACTTAAAACTTTTTCTGTACTATACTGAAGGGTCTCTTCACTCCTTTTGCTGTATGTGAGTCTGTTTATTTCTTTTAATAAATTACCGTATTTTTTGCACCATAACACTCACTTTTTTCCTCCTAGAAAGTAAGAGGAAATGTCTGTGCGTGTCATGGAGCGAATGCCTACAGATGGCGGGGGGATCTGCTGCAGTCGTGAGCATGGTTCCCCTTCCTTCCCACCTCCGTGGCTCGCTTTGAAACAGCAAAGCGGGAGAAGAGCCGCTGAGTAGGGAGGAGAGAGGGACAGAGAGCCTGCTTGCTTTAAAGGAGCAAAGCGGGAGAGGAAAGGAGCCGCTTACACGAGTGTACGCGGCTCCTGTCCGGTTGGCTCCTTTAAAGCAAAGTTTTTCAGCAAGCCGGGGAGGAGGGAGAGAAGCAGAGCCTGCTTGCTTCTCCTCTTATACCCCTCTTCTGCATTATTAACAGCATCCTTCTCCACCCACCCCACGCGTGTTCCTTGTCCCTTGAGTGCTTTTCCTTCCCTCCCCACTTAAAACATGGTTACAAAGCACGGATCCACATGGATCCTCAGGATTTTTGCATTGGGCTACCCCAAACTCACCGTCAGATCACATGTCTGTGGCCACAGCATGAACCACAAAAATCATACATCCACTGTTTCGTTTAGAATATTTTTTTTCTTGTTTTCCTCCTCTAAAAACTATGTGCGTGTTATGGTCAGGTGCGTGTTATAGAGCGAAAAATACGGTGTTTTGTCGCAGTTTTTAAATGTCTGATTGAGAAAGCAGATCCACATACCAGTTGAAGTTTAAAGTTTCAGCTTCTTTTGTTCTTTCTTGGCATTATTTTATAATATGATTGATTTCTGGCTGCTACCTTCCAACACAGCTAGCCCAGGACACTTTGCTGCCTGAGGTGAGTGGAAAAGTGAAAGGCACTTCCCCTTTCAACATACATAAGCTGACTAAACTAGCAGTTCGCCTCATCACTGGTGATGAAGATTCAATGTCCCCTTCTGCCTCTGAAGACTGCAGCTTAACTTAGAGAGTGCAAGGCATACTCTGCAGTAGTATCCAAGCAACATTCTGTTGGAAATAAATTAGTGATTTATAGAAGTGTAAAATATGTTACATTTTCAGAAAGTTGAAGCTGTTTTTTGTATGTTTTATCCTGACAGGAACCTTATGAAGATGGCCCATATACAGTAATTTCAAATAAGAATTCTGATCACTTTATACCACTGGATGGGTTAGGTAATGATTCCAAAGGTATATTTCTTTTTATAACAACTTAGTTTAAAAAATAAAAATAAACCAGTGGTTTATCAGAATACTGCAACTGCAAGTCCCATTTTAATCATGCCAGAATGTGCCCTTATTTCATCATGGTATAATAAGGTAACTGCCATCAAAATTATGTAATATGAGCAGTGTTGTTTTCTTGGGGGACACAGGGGTATGCATGCCCCTAAACATTTTGTGAATCTAAGTTTGGCCTCATTGAGGGGTAGTATTTCAATATTAGTAGGAAAATGAGCATATCCCTAAACATTTTTTTTAGAAAAAAAGCACTGGATATGAGCTGCAAATCCCCACCTCAAATCTCAGTTCTCCTATGAGCTCTTTTGATGGCCACCTACAAACTACTAACTCGCTGTCTCAGTCCCCTTTTGAAATAATAGTAGCAAACTTTGCATAATTATTCTAAGGCTTTCTAAGAATATATATGAAGTGATTTTGAGTTTTCATAAAAGTATCAAGTGCTTATGTAGGGTTGCTTGTTCCTCCAGGATTAGCTGAAAAGTATTTGCTGCAGTATCATTGATAATTCATGTAGTATCTTGCTCTTCCTACAAACTTCGCTACAGTGAAGCTGATTGGTGACTTTCCCCATCCCCTGAAATTGATCTGATCAGATCACCTAGTATGACCCTAGCCTTCCACCAAGAGTTTCCCCCTTACAAGTCAGGTGCCGTTAAAAAATAAAATAAAAGCTTGTTGGAGTTGTTAAGCAAACAGTAAATGACTACAATCATTGGTAAAAGTCTAGCTCCTTTTGAAGTGTTTCTGAAGCTCACTGTATTTGTAGAGATAAGCCTCTGTCTTTCTAAGCTGTGTTCACTAGGCTAAAATACATGGGAAGTTTATTTGTAGACCTCTCCTAGTTGAAACATAGCCAGCTCATAAGAATGTATTGCAAAGGTGGAGCAAACAAGCAAATATTGTTGTGTTGCATTACAAAAATGCAAAGGAAGTTCAGAAATGCATGCATATTAAAATTAAGCTAAATAGAATTAGTGAATGTCCTGAGATTTTACAGTTACCTCAGGTACTGTAGATCTCACAATTTACCACACCCCCTTAAATATACTCTGCTAAATGTGTTTCATTAACACATAATAAATAATAAATACCAAATACATGACACTTGTTTGCTTCAGTTATTTTGTGGGGCAAACTATGCTTTCATGCGGTTATGGTATGCAGGTGGCGCTGTGGTCTAAACCACTGAGCCTCTTGGGCTTGACAATCGGAAGGTCGGCAGCTTGAATCTGCATGACGGGGTGAGCTCCCTTTGCTCTGTTCCAGCTCCTGCCAACCTATCAGTTCAAAAGCATACAAGTGTGAGTAGATAAATAGGTACTGCTGTGGCAGGAAGGTAAACAGTGTTTTCATGTGCTCTGGCACTTGTCACGGTCCTCTGTGCACCAGTAGCAGTTTAGTCCTGCTGGCCGTATGACCTGGAAAGCTGTCTGCTGTATGGACAAACACTGGCTCCCTCAGCCTGAAAAGTGAGATGAGCGCCACACCCCATAGTCACCTTTGACTGGACTTAACCATCCAGGGGTCATTTACCTTTACCTACCTTTTACCTTTAATGTTGTTATATAGTTCCTAGTTTATATATCTTTGGTATCACCATAGGGTTCTTTGCAAATGGTGCCATTTCAGATTTCTGGTTTTCTTGGAGAGGAGGGGAGCTTAAGAACATGTGAGTAGGAATGTGGGGAAGAGAGTAGGAATGTGACTGCCCTACCTAAATAGTGGTGGTACTTCTGGAGCAGGCATAGGCAAACTCGGCCCTCCAGATGTTTTGGGACCAGAATTCCCATCATCCCTAGCTAACTGGACCAGTGGTCAGGGATGATGGGAATTGTAGTCTCAAAATATCTGGAGGGCCGAGTTTGCCTATGCCTGTTCTGGAGACTATAATAATGTTGGCAATTGTTGGCTGAGTTTGGTCTTGGGTCTCTCTAGTTGTTTGATATTGCATATATATGGGTTTGAAAACCACATTTGTTTATTAGTTAATATTTGATTTGGTGCTTCCCTCAGAGACATTTCACTGGCTCCCAGCTGAGAGCTGGCTTTAGTCTCTTTCCAGTTGTAATTCCAAGTTGTCAGAATTCTAAGTTTATACTTTATCCCTTACTTGGAATCTCCATGTTACCTTCAGATGCCATGAATAGAATTTGCATGTTTCCTTCAATATGTTGAGGTCATGACAGCTCTGACTTCCTGTGAATCATATTAGGTTGGCCAATGGCTAGGGAGGCTAGTCCAATGAGAGGTAGTGGCTAGCTAGATATACCTTTTCATTTTCTATTGTTTTCCTCTTGTAAGTTGGTACATTATTTGTTTGCAAACTTTCATATTATGCACTATAATTTGGCATCATTGCAAAATGTCATTAAATAGTATCCATGTAGACTGGGAAAATCTAACATACACTTATATTTTATTTTGCATATTGGTATAATCATTTGATTAAAATACAACTAATCTAATTTGGAATTGAGTAATAGTAGCTGTAAAATATGTTGTATACAGAGGATTGACCACTCTGAATTATAGTAACTTTCAGTACATTTTAGAAAGGTGGGATATCAGTTAACTCATAATCACTTGCTAAAATTCCAATCCCTAGTATCAGAGCTTATTTAAATGGGTAATTGTTTACATATTTTGTTTTTCAGTAGATGGTTTATCAAATAATTTTAAGAGTCATCCACTTCAATTGGATCACACTAGTGAGAGTGGTTGTTTTGATGGCACTGATTATGTGAAACCAAATTCATCCATGCATGAATCGAAGAAGTCAAATACATGGACACCTCATGGCACCTGTTTGACACTCACAGATCATGATCGAATTCGACAGTTCATACAGGAATTTACCTTTAGAGGGCTTTTGCCACATATAGAGAAAACAATCAGGCAACTTAATGACCAGGTAAGTCATTCACCCTCTAAGCCTTTTTGCCTAGCTGATAAATAAACACAGGAAGATATGCACTTTAATCTGTTTTATCTATAGTAGATGTAACAGACATGTAGTCAACGTCTATGTTTGCTTACAACAAAGTGGTCTGCCTGTTTTCTGGAGTTAATGCCCTCCTGATACTCCCTCCCTCCTTGCTTCAGTTCCAGTCAGGCTGTCTGGAAAAAAGACGGAGCGTTTTCTTCAGAAAAGCCTTGTGTTACTCCTATTGGTCTGGTGGCTCTGGGTGGCGCTTCTGATCTTACCATTATTTGTCATTTTTGCTTTTGGCCTCCAGATGGGATCATCTGTCGCCCTGAGTTATTTTTTGTAGGAACCCAAACCCATCTGACAGAATGTGAATCATTTGCTTTTCCTTCTCCCGTCTCAGGGGACCTGTGTCAGGCTTAGAACTACTTTTGGATAATTTTTTTTCACATGCATCAAGGAATCAGGAAGACTGAGGTGGTCAGATACTCTAAAATCACCATCTTGAGACACAGAGGCTGAGCCTTGAAGCTAAATACTACCACCTCTCCCCATATGAACTGACCCAGACCCTGCAATAATAATATTGACACCCTTCTTGGTGTGCCCCCTCCCCAAGAGGTCCAGGGTGTGTGTGACAACATGAGAAACAGCATTTTCTGCGGTGGCTTGCCGTTTGTGGAAGGCTTTCTCCATGGTACCATTTGGGGTTACTTTAAAAAAAAAAAGGAATTAGTGCCGCTGCTGCTACTGCAGCAGCAGAAATCTGTCCTGTTTAGACAGATCCCAGAACTTTATTGCTAAATTAGTAATGAGGGTTGGGGTTTACAAATGACACTGCTCCTTGGGACACGTCTACTTCAGCCTGTTTCCTAATCTGGTTGTTGCTAGTTTCTTCCATTGAGACAGTTTGAGGTAGTTGGTAGTGATCCCTCTGGTAGGTTTTTTAATTTGTGAATTCGTCTTAATTTTTTTCTGTAGTAAGAGGGATTTTTGTAGCATTACTGCACAGTACGCCTTGTCTGATGAAAAATTCCTGTGTTTTGCTACAGCATAGGCGGGGAACCTTTTTTGTCTGGACAGGCTGGATCTTTATCTTCCCGTAACCCAGGATCCAACTTTGACAGATGGGTGATCTCACCCACTTGTAATCCTCTGATTTCGTAATGATGCCATGTGATTGGTGGGTGGGAGGGTGGGTGGTCCTGCTTACCTGTCAAGGTTGGCCTGTCTGGGTGTGGTTAGCTAGAGCCTAAGTATTGGTTGATGAGTGGGAAGTTCAGGCCTGCTTTCTACAAGGTTTGGGTGTGTCCATCTGAACCATACACAGTCATACCTTAGTTCTCGAACGCCTTGGTACTCGTATGTTTTGGCTCCTGAGAGCCGAAAACCCTGAAGTAAGTGTTCCGGTTTCCGAACATTCTTTGGAAACTGAACATCCGACTTGGCTTTTGCGGTTTCCGATTGATTGCAGGAAGCTCCTGCAGCCAATCAGAAGCTGCACCTTGGTTTTTGAATGGTTCTGGGAGTCGAACGGAGTCCCAGAACGGATTAAGTAGGACAACCAAGGTACCACTGTAATACTTTTCTGTGTCTTTACCTTGCACATGGCATCACATATGATATGAGTTGTGGGGCGGTAGGCATTGTTTTTGGAAACTGGACTTACAGAGCAAATGGAAAGGCTTGACAGGCCAAATTTTGCCAGGGCTGGAGGTTTTCCATCACTGTGCTACAGACATTGATAACTTCTGATCATCTTAGCTTGTCTCTAGGAAGAAAGCTATATTTAGATGAAGGCCTGCTTCAGTATTAAAAAGTGCAACACTTCATTTTTGGGGGTGATCTATACAGCTCTGAACATAGCTTGCAGCTTTTCATAACATTTAAAAACTTCATAATATAGGGTCTGACTCTACAAAACCTGCTTTCTCTTTACAATTGCCCATGAATGGCTTCTAGCACTAGGACCATGAAACAGTCGCAGTGCATAGTGCCTTAAAAATGGCAAACACAGCCTTATTAGAGCTATCCTTTTCAATATTTTATATTCAAAGGAAATTTTTCATAAATCTTACCACATTCAAAGGAAAAATCACCATCTTGTTCCTTTGGAGGACAGGTAAGACCCACATAAATAAAAAATGTTTGTGTGTTTATTTCCTACTAGGGAAAATGTGTGTTGACTTCTAAAAAACAACAACCTTTGATTCAGCTCAGATCTCTGTTTAAAAAATAACACTTGGTTGTTTCACTAAAGCTTTATTGCAGTGCATGTGCAAAATGGGTTCAGAGTTGTGTTCACATTTGCAGACTTACCCTTAACCATAGAGTAGAGCATGACATTCAAAGCTTATTCTAAAGAGTTTCGTTTCCTTAGCAGTAGCTATGAAATGTAACATTTCCTGGTCTCTTGACCCTGATCAGAAGAGCCTCATGTAGATTTACGGCTCCCTTCACCCAGTCCCTCCCATTTCCAGTGCCAGTTCTCTCCACCATTCCCCTGAATGACTGAAGCATGTTGAAGGGTTACATCAGCACTAGCTTCAAGCATGGTGAGTGCTAATCCAGCCCCTCACTCCATAATTTCTGGTCATACTTACATTGGTAAACCTGACTCTATTATTTAGTCATCACTTTTATACCCCACCTTTCCTCCAAGGAGCTCAGTGTGGCCTATATGATTCTCTTTCTCTCCATTTTATCCTCACAACAACCCTCTGAGGTAGGTTAGGCTAAGAGACTAACTGACACTCATTGCTGAGATCTAACCACTACACCACACTGGCTTTGTTAACCATGCTGAAGGGTGGTGCAGATGTAATATTTAAGGCTGTCTGGGGAATAGTGGGATGAATTTGCATGTGAGAGGGAAAGGACTGTGTGATAGTTACCATTCTCCTGATCTTTTAATTGAACTTAGAGATAGATTGTGCCCGTACCAACACACAAACATTAAAAGCTGTTTTCTGAAGACTACATCAGAAGTGTACTTGAACATTTCAATTCTTGATTTTGCAAGGGAAGCAGTCTTTAAATTGGTTTAAAAATCTTTGTAACATTATTTGCTCATAAAATAATAAACTATGTTGCAATTCTGTGATACTATAAGATTTTCATTTTATTTTTCAGTTGATATCCAGGAAAGGCCTGAGTCGCTCACTATTTTCTGCAACCAAAAAATGGTTTAGTGGCAGCAAAGTTCCAGAGAAAAGTGTAAATGAGCTAAAAAGCACTTCTGGCTTGTTGTGAGTAGATCTACTCGCCATAAAAATGTCAAGTACTTGATTTCGATTAGGTTTTGGCTTGCTGATTTCCACATGTTCCTTGTGATTTCTTTTGTCATTGATTCACACATTGGTTGTATTCAGACAATAATATCTCTTCTTAGTAAGCTCAAATGCGTATAGACCTTCTGTTAGCACACAGAACCATGTCCCTCTGAGATTAAACCAGAGAATAAACTTTACACTGAGATTAAACTAGGAAGTCTTCAGTTAACCATAGTTTCTCATTATATCTGAACCAACAAACTATGATTACTGGCTTGGAATAAATCAGGGTATTAGACATGCTTCAAACTGTAGTTTAAGATCCTGGCTTCTTTAGAAGCTGGTGACAACAATTTCCAAGTTTGGATGTAACTATGCTTAATCAAAAATTCCATATTTAGATGCAGCACATCTAAGAAGAAAGGGGCTACATGCATTGACAGAAGGCCTGTGCACATCTTGGCTTATTAAACTGAGATATGATCCTTCGCATCAGGCAATTAAGTTTGTATCCTACTTTGTTCAAAGATTAAAAACTTGCATCCACTATAGGCTTATAATTTTTGTTTTTAGTGGTGATGGTTGTGTGAAGATTGTCTTAAAAGGTATTGATTAACACTAGTAACACCAGTTAAATACGTGTTCTTAACTACCTCCATTGCATGTCTTCTAGATATAAAGCATAACACTTCTGCATTTTAATAAGTAGGTGTGGTTCATCTACATGCCCTGGGACTGCTGATTTAACAACTATTCATTTTTTAACTTGTACAACTATTGCAACTTTTTAAAAAAAGTTGACAAGAATCCTGCTATTTTAATCCACATTGGAAATCTGTATCGTATTTTAGAGCATGCCTGTAAAAACTCAGTCCTTCAGATTACCGTTGAAATTAGAGGTGATGCTTAACACTTTACAAAAATTACGCAATTTGCCTTTGATCACTGAGTTGGGTCCAAAGTTTTTGCTCTGTGATTGGAAGGAGCTTCCTGTCACTGGAGGACTTCTTCCATGGAGTCTCTCATTTTGTTCATGGGATGAATTCATCTGCATCCATGGAATCCATCCATTCCATGTGTTTGGAAACAGCTGTTAGATACTAACCAGGGATTGTGGTCACTTTAGTGCCCTTTTGAGCATTCAGAGGTTGGTAATTCGGGGAAGCACAATGTTGGAGTATCTGTACCTTGGTTTAAGTCTTGTGTTATTAAGAATGCGGTATGTTCTGTTTCCCTCAAATTTTGTTTTTCATAATGTCTTACGTTTTTAGGTATCCTCCAGAAGCGCCAGAGCTTCAGATCAGGAAAATGGCAGATCTGTGTTTCTTGGTGCAACATTATGAACTGGCATACAATTGCTACCATACAGCAAAGAAAGACTTTTTAAATGATCAAGCAATGCTTTATGCAGCAGGAGCACTGGTTAGTTCATTAATATTGATTGTTTTGGAACGGTATACAATTCCTATGTTTCTATGTTTCTAATTCAAACAGGTTGGGTGGGTATGTGGGTGATTTGTAGGGTTGGCATTTACCCACCTTTGGTCATGTTGCATATCATCTGTCATAGAATCATAGAACTGTAGAGTTGGAAGAGACCAGAAGGGTCATATAGTCCAAACCCTTGCACATGAAGCAATCTTTTGCCCAATGTGGGGCTAATAATAATAATAATAATAATAATAATAATAATAAAAAATTTATTGTTGGAAGCTGCCCACTCTGGGCAGCTTCCAACAAAATATTAAAAAACAGTAGTCTATTAAACATTAAAAACTTCCCTAAACAGGGCTGCCTTCAGATGTCTTCCAAAAGTCTGGTACAGTGGTACCTCGGGTTAAGAACTTAATTCGTTCTGGAGGTACGTTCTTAACCTGAAACTGTTCTTAACCTGAAGCACCACTTTAGCTAATGGGGCCTCCCGCTGCTGCCGCCGCGCAGTTTCTGTTCTTATCTGAAGCAAAGCTCTTAACCTGAGGTACTATTTCTGGGTTAGCGGAGTCTGTAACCTGAAGCGTCTGTAACCTGAGGTACCACTGTAGTTGTTTTTCTCTTTGACATCTGGTGGGAGGGCGTTCCACAGGGCACTACTGAGAAGGCCCTCTGCCTGGTTCCCTGTAACTTGGCTTCTCACAGCGAGGGAACCACCAGAAGGCCCTCACCACTGGACCTCAGTGTCCTGGCAGAACGAGAGGGGTGGAGACGCTCTTCAGGTATACTGGGCCGAGGCCATTTAGGGCTTTAAAGGTCAACACCAACACTTTGAATTGTGCTCGGAAATGTACTGGGAGCCAATGTAGGTCTTTCAAGACCGGTATTATGTGGTCTTGGCAGCCGCTCCCATAACCCTGAGATTAAGAGTCATGTTCTACCAACTAAGCTATCTAGTCCTTCTACGGTTTAGAGTATTTGATCTGCTGTTGTGAAAGAGAAGCATATAACTGTAGCCTGTGACCAGAGTTGGAGGAGGGGGTTGTTGGCATTTTAGATGGTGCAATTAAAATGAACAATCAGAGAAGGGAATCAGAATTTAGGAAGCAGGATGCAGATTTCACATGGCCCCTTCCAAAATCCCCACGTTCCCTTCTATCTTGGTTTGATCTTACATGTGACTGTTACTAGCCCAGGTTAAATAAATCAAAACAAAACTGACTCAATTTTAATCAGTTTTTTCAAAGTGACTTTAAAGGTAACCTGAGCATCATTGCTGAGTATCCATCATTATTTCCTTGTAGAATCATCTTGTAAGTTCTGAGGGTTTGAAGATTTGTGGGGGTTTTTTTGTGTGAACCATTTAAACTTTATACAGTGGTGCCTCGCAAGACAAAATTAATTCGTTCCGTGAGTTTTGTCGTCTTGCGATTTTTTTCGTCTTGCGAAGCACGGTGTCGGAAAAGTTTTGGAAAAGCTTCAAAAATCACCAAAGTCTTTAAAAACCTCAAAAAAGGCTACCACACCGCGTTCTATGAGTTGCTCTTCGAAGTCAAGTCGCAACTGTATTAACGGTGTTAAGAAAAAGGAAACAAACTTGCAAGACGTTTCCGTCTTGCGAAGCATGCCCATAGGGAAAATCGTCTTGCGAAGCAGCTCAAAAAACAAAAAACCCTTTCATCTAGCGAGTTTTTTGTCTTGCGAGGCATTCGTCTTGCGAGGTACCACTGTACAAGCATATGTGAAAACACAAATCACCCTGCTGCAAAATGCAGTTGAATCATAATAGAGTGTGTATGTGAAATTTACTTGAATACAGTTTGTTTGTAATAAAAGCTTTGTAGCAAAAATAGTAGATAATGACCAATTGTTGTTTTATAGGAAATGGCAGCAGTATCTGCTTTTCTTCAGCCAGGAGCACCTAGACCATATCCTGCCCATTACATGGATACTGCAATTCAAACATATAGGGATATTTGCAAGTAAGTGTGGCTATTTTCAGTTCTTCCTGGTAGAAGATAGACTGTAGTCTTACTGAATATTGTTTTCATTCCTCAATGGGTAATTCATGATTACTCTGGGAAATACCAGTAATATAGGGTGCTGGCGGTGGTGGTGTTGTAGTTCAACTTTTGAATAAAATGGCTCTGGTTGACTAGGCAGAGTCCAGCCGCAACAAAGTTACTTTTGGTCTACCAGAGGGAAAATCCAAATGCTCTAAAATTAAGCATACATTTAGTTCTACAAGAACTCACAAGTTTTATAATTAACTTATCAAAGAAGAAACCTGGTTAAATCCTGTGCAGATGCTCCATATAACTTATATATTGCAGTGCTAGTTAGTCCTTGTAGCCCTGAACACAATGAGACCACCTTTGATAAAGGCAGGGCCGTGGTAATTCTGTTTAATTAAAATGTGCCATTCATATACTAATCTGACATTCATATACTGATCTGTCAAGCACCACTGATAAAACATGCATTATAAGATATATGTAACTGGGCTTGATTTTATGTCTTTTAGGAACATGATGCTGGCAGAGAGATGTGTGCTGCTTAGTGCTGAAGTATTAAAAAGCCAAAGCAAATATTCAGAGGCAGCTGCTCTCCTGATACGTTTAACCAGTGAGGTAAAGAAGATTTCTATTAGCTGGTCTTGTGCTTTGAAATGAGACAGGCTTTCTTTGAACTTTTTCTAATAAATAACTAAATTATAAAATAGAGCTTTCTAGATAGAAAGTTGTAATGGCTCTTGGGGAAAAAAGATTATCATGTCAGATGTTGATTCTAACTATTTGCATTCCATTGAATAAAACTATTCTGCTGCTTCTTCTCTGCATCTGTTAATTTATGGGAAACCCACAGAAGTCTTGTTATGACCACAAAATAAGGAAGCCTTTGCCAGCCTGATGCCCTCAATATGTTTTGGACTTCTACTCTGAAACATCTGGGCAGCACCAGGTTGATGAAGGCTGGAATAAACTCTCATTTTGAACATTCTGCTAGCCTTTCTTGAAGGAAAGTTGACAGGCAGTTAAATGTATAGTTTGCAGTATGCTACAATCTGTGATTATAAAGCACACATGTACTCAAGTAGGATAGTATAACTACAGTGGTGCCGCGCAAGACGAAATTAATCCGTTCTGCGAGTCTCTTCGTCTTGCGGTTTTTTCGTCTTGCGAAGCACGGCTATTAGCGGCTATTAACGGCTTAGCGGCTTTAAGAAAAAGGAAACAAACTCGCAAGAACTCGCAAGACGTTTCGTCTTGCGAAGCAAGCCCATAGGGAAATTCGTCTTGCGGAACGACTCAAAAAATGGAAAACCCTTTCGTCTAGCGAGTTTTTCGTCTTGCGAGGCATTCGTCTTGCGGGGCACCACTGTATTGAAGAAACTTTAAGCTACAGTTTTGCTCTTCACATTTTCTTGTGTCTCTTAGAATCACACTTTTAGATAGCAGCAGAGTAGTCTTAAAATGAAGTATAAAACTCCCAAGATGCAATATAAAGATTTCCCCCCCCTGTCTAGTAGACATGAGATTAGAAAGACCAATAGTGAATACAATTATTTCGTGTTGGGGATCTGTTAAGATTGTGTGAGGCTACTTTGTATAGGTAACTGAATAAGACGAATTATTCCTGTGTCATTTTAGAATTGCCCAGAAATTATTTTGAAACCATTTTTAAGTTATGTGAGATGTTTCAGTTATAAATTAAAAAGGTAACATAGCTCCTGTTTAGTCTTCCAGAATTACAACTCAAAGTTAGCTTGTAATATTCCATACTTGTTCCATGTCTTTTTTGCTTTTTGTTTAATTGAAATATGTTAAAGCTTATATTCTTATTCTTTAATTTTTCTGTTGAAAAATGGCAGCAGAGCGCTTGGATGGGAATGGTGAGTGTTAGAAATGTCAGCCTGAGTAGCTGGAGGTTTAGGTAGTGCGTTAAATCTGTTTTTACTCATCTGTATGCCACTGTGTTTTGATATCTGGATATTGATTAAAATACCAGTGTAAGAGAATTTTTTCATGTTGATGATTGTGTGTGGTTCTGGATACTAACATGAACATCACAGCACTGTTGTGCTCATTGGAGAACACTCCTCATTTGCTGAACTATTGGTAAATGAGACTTAGAAGGAACACTACATTTTTGCAACAAGCTCTGTGGAAGGAAGCTTCTTAAAATGTTTAAGCTTTGACTCATTTTTATATTGTTTCTACAAGCATTTTCCATAGGGTTTATTCAGCTCCTTTGTTTGAGGCATCACAAGTACTGAACCAAGGACAAAGGCCATAAAACTTCCTTTTTATACCAGCTCACTTTGATCTTTAAAAAGTCAAGCAGAACCAGTGAAATAGAAAATAGTTCACTTTTTGACATGCAGTACAGAAAACATGGTTTGCTATTACTTGAGAAATAAATCATCAAGGGTACTGTTGTAGCTCTTTGCAGTGAAATTTGGATGCAGCGTATTCAGTGTTGGCTAGTGAAGATTTATAAAATTGGCATATATTCACTGCATCAGTAATACTATAGAGCCTTGCATTGTTTCAGACTTCAGAGCCTTCTCTGGTAATAAGGAATTTATATTTAAGAATATGGACATCACTGTGCTTTCTTGGTAATTGTAACTTGTCTCTTATCACTCACTGTTTTTAATAGGATTCAGATCTGCGGAGTGCACTGTTGCTCGAGCAAGCTGCACATTGTTTTATAAATATGAAAAGTCCTATGGTTAGAAAATTTGCCTTTCATATGATACTGGCTGGCCATAGGTATAGTAAAGCAGGGCAGGTAAGTTTTCTGTGTTAGGAAATAAGTACATATTCTGTAATTTTCCAATTCTCTTGATAGTGTTTTAGCACCTTTGAAATACTTGATCATTGTTAAATACTGCTTGAGTTGAGTGGAAAGTTTTATTCTACATCTTTGGGAGGGGAAACTCAGAAATGAAATGTTTCCCATTCCATCTACTGAAGAGAACATAGGTAGTTGTATCTCAAGTGCTGGCTACCTTGACGCAGGTGGGATTAGCACTCTGTATTGAATTACCAAGACCATTCTTATGCTAGATATTGGGGGACCCTTCAGAGCAGATTAGGAGGGGTACAGGGGAAAGGTAAATTATCGGAAATTGCTTTCCTAGCCATTCTGCTGATGCAACCCTTACTATCAGTTTAGGGACACAGTTGGCTTGTGTTGACCTGCCCTTATTTCCCCCAGTATTCAGTAATCTCAGAAAGCTGTTTAAGGTAATGGCTTCTTATATTGACATAAAATATCCTTTTGAACTTTTTGGGTTTTTACTCTTTAGCTCTAAATACATCAGCAGGTGGAATTGTATTTACCGTGCTTCACTTTTTATCTTTCAGAAGAAGCATGCTTTACGATGTTACTGTCAAGCCATGCAAGTTTATAAAGGGAAAGGATGGTCACTTGCAGAAGATCATATAAATTTCACTATTGGTCGGCAGTCTTTTACACTTCGGCAGCTTGACAATGCCGTATCTGCATTCAGGCATATTTTGATCAATGACAGCAAGCAAAGTGCTGCTCAGCAAGGGGCCTTCCTCCGAGAATATCTTTATGTTTATAGGGTAAGATGTCAGTTTTTATCCTCAGTGTTCTGCAATTGTCTTTTAACTTTTCCCTGCTTAATACTAAAATGTAAGTTAACCTTACCTGATGACGTACGCAGAAATGCTATATTGAATGCTTGTAGCTCATGTTACTTTATGTAGGGCCATGTCTGGCTAGCATCTCACTGATGCCTGTCAGCTGGCTTCTGTATCAAGCAGTTTGTTCCAAAAAAGATGGTCATTTAGTATGGACACAATATGATGTTCTAAATTCTATCCCACTACTCAAAACTTGTATATAGTAATAAGTATTTGTCAATTGCTATAAACGCTAGTCCTTGTTCAAAGCACTGCATGACTAATTTAATATATCGAAGTGGACTTTGGTGTGTCAAAGAGTTTCTTTTTCCATTTAGCAAATCTTTAGTTTTGTATATTCCAATTCTCAATATCTAGTTTTACTTGCTAAAAGTTGACCAAGTTCTGCTTTTCTTTCTTGCAGAATGTGAGTCAGCTATCACCTGATGGGCCGTTACCACAACTTCCTTTACCTTATATTAATAGTTCTGCAACACGAGTGTTTTTTGGACATGACAGACGGCCATCAGAAGGTTAGCACAAAAAAGGGGATTTGTTCTTAAGCCATTTGAGTTCATTAGGATAGCATACCTTAACATAAGGTTGGATTTGTACATGCTACAGAATGAGAAGGTAGACTAGACTGTACCACTTCATACTACAGGTGGATATTATATTGCTTTTGTATATACCTCTGCATCAGAAACTTCCTGCAAACAGTGAACTAGCACGTCAGGGAGCAAAGTTGATGCCCAGCCCTTTTCCTGTTGTGCTGGGTTTTTTTTTTCTGTTTTCAGGAATTTTTATTTTTAAGTTTAGATGGGCATTAAAATACATTCTGAAATGCTGCAACCTACTCTACCAAGTCAGCATCCTTCTTCCTCATTTTGTAAACTGCTTTGAGGTTTTTCCTACAATCAGATGGTATATGAGTTTTATGAAATAAATAAATAATTTCTGTTGCATTTTAAGGCCTAATTCTGTGCTATTCAAATATATAGAAAGTGAATGATTTCAGCATTTCCCTTCCTCACCTTAATGCACTTTAATAAATATAAGATTAATGGGAGTTCTTGCTAATGGACAGATTCAGAAAAACTGAGCCGCCTTTGGTTGCTGTGGTTTAGATGCTTTCACATGTAAGCTGCTCTAACAGTTGTAGCACCAGACAATATATAGTACCTAGGCATTTTTTCCTCTTGCTGCTAGTTTTTCTGCCACAGTTCCTATGCTAATCATGCTCATTCTCCTAAAGTGTTTGAACTATAAACAGTCAGTCCAAGAGTTAGAACAGTTCTTGCACTAAACACTACAGTCAGGAGTTGCAGTTGTCTTAAAGCTTGGCTCCATCTGTGTGTCCACACAGCCATGACCCACCCCAACCCCGTCCTGGTAAGCTTAGCAACACTGATGTCAGGAGAGCAGTTTCCATCTCTGCTGCTTCACACCAGCCGCTACTGGATTTTAAACCTATTGTGAGCCTTCTATGTATGACTGTAGTTTAGAATTAGTTCATAAGTTAGGAAAAAAAATAATTAGTGATTCTGCAGTCAAAAGTTGGGGCCGGCTAGTTCAATATGTGAACCTTGGTCCCCTCCCACTGGTTTGTTGATGTCCCTACCCACTTATTGTTCTGGATTTCAGTCTCACTGTCTGTCCTTTGGAGTTCTGCTCCCAGCAACACATACCATCTCTTGAAAATGCATGTATGAAACAGGCATTTTAAGAAAATTGTATGGTCTCCCAATTGAAAGTTGATTCACCATTTGTAATAAAAACAGAAAAAGTTTTTTGTTTGGTACTCTGTGGTGTACTGAAGTGATTGTGATTTTTTATTATTATTCACAACTAGGTGAAAAACAGGCAGCAACACACATAAGCCTTGATCAAGAATATGACTCTGAATTCTCCTATCAATGGAAGGAACTTGAAGAGCAAGCTGTGGCTGCAGCTAACAAAGGCACAGCACTTTCTAATTTCCAGCCAACACAGTATTGTCTGAATAAGTATTCAGATAACTCTAGGTTTCCACTTGGTGTAGTAGAAGGTAAAAAATTTGTACAGATTTTTTAAAATCGCACATAAAACTAATATTATTTCAGCAAAGTTGTTTATGGAATAGAAATGCAGTGATAAGCTTTTAAATTATAAATGCCTTGGTTTATTCTCACATCTTATAAGAATAACCTCCCTAAATACATACATTGACTTTTCTTTTTAATAGAGCCAATAACTGTGGAAGTAGCTTTTAGAAATCCATTGAAAGTTCCACTTCTGTTAACCGACTTATCACTGCTTTGGAAATTTCAACCAAAGGATTACAATTCAAAGAATAACGGAGAAACAAAGGAAGTAGTAAGTGATTTAATCAAGTCCTCTATCTTTCAAAATCTTTTTATTGAAAAGTAAATCAGTGCACACTTTCATATGTTGATTTTCATTCTACTTAGTTTCTAATCCCCCAGAGATTTTTCACACCCTCCTCTTAGAGGACAAGGTTTAGAATCATGCATGGCCTCTGCTCTTGTTTTCTGCTCTTGGAACTAAGAGTCCCACCTCATCAAAGGGAAATTTACCTTCTAATTATTAGAGAGACAATGACTATGGTTGAAATTACTGAGACTGAGACTCCGCACCACCTTGCAGTGGAGAATGGAGGCTTCTGCTTTATATTAGTTGTAGTTTATTGTGTCATTCAAATCCTATACCTTAGTGAAAACAAGCCAACATTATAAATTATGGTTTGAAGTTGGCTTGTTTCCACTAACGATACTTAATATTAGGCATATGTTTGGCAACACAGGAAGCTGTAGTTAATCTAAAAAGAAAGCAAAAGTTTTCAAACATACGGCTACACCAGAGGAGGAAGCAGGGAGCACATAAGTACCCCAGAGAGCACTAGGCTCTTTCTCATAATGCAGAATTTGGTTTAACATTGTGTCCAATCAAACCCGTTACATAGGATACCTGCCCCCCAGCTATACTTAGGTTTTTGTTTTCGTAAAGTATCAAGCTTGAAATACATTAAAATATAATGTTCTTAGAACCACTATTGGGAACAGTTTGCTACTGAGAAATAATGGTGTGCTTAATTGAACATTGTTTTCATAATTTATTTTAGGAAACATCTGGAAAAGATATGATTGGAGCTGAAGTAATATCAGAGTTTTTGATGAACAGTGAAGAAACTAAAATGGTGGGTACTTAATTTTCTCCCCCCCCCTTAAAAGCAGATATTTTCCAGGTCCCCACAAAAGGAGTTAGACCAGTGGCGTAGCGTGGGTTGTCAGCACCCGGGGCAAGGCAAGTAATTTGCGCCCCCTAACCCGTGGATTTTGCACCCCCTAACCCGTGAGCGCGGCCCCCCAGATGTTGCGCCCGGTGTGGCCAGCCCAGCCTGCACCCCCCATGCTACGCCACTGTAGCACAGAACACCATCCCTAATCCTGCAACTGCAAAAAGTTCTGCAACACAGCACAACAGACCGTGCAAAAGGATCGTTGTTGATGCTTTTATTAAAAAAATGTAAACAACAGCCATCTTTATTTACACTATGAGCTAACTGTCTGAGATGGGTAAAACCAATCCCAAAGGGCCCTTACAAACAGTAGATTATGCTACATTTTCCTTGTTTAAATCCACAATGTTTTGGTTTTTTTAAATGCACTCTACCTCCCCACCCTTATACCCTTTCCACCCAATATGGTAGACGTACACCTGATGCCTTTGTCACACATTACATGCACCCAACCCCTTCCCTGCAGTCAGCTAGATTTCCCTCGCAATAAACGTGGGTGGGTAGGTACCGGAGAAGGAAAACCTGAAAAGAGGAAGTGGCTGCTTTCCTCAGGGTCTTACTGCCCGCCCTCCTCTGTTTCGTTGCTGTGTTTGCTCAAACGGAACAAAGAGCAGGGAAAGCCCCTCCCCTCCAGGCAGAGAGAGAGAGAGAGGCGCCCTCCACGAGTTGTCGAGCTTGGGCAACGGCTGCGCGGCCGACGGCGAGGCGCTAAGGCGCCGGCTCCCCAGGCTGCAGCGCTTGGCCAGGCGCCGCGCTTGCATGCCTGGCCGCGCCCAGCTCGCCTCAGCGCAGCGGAGACGACGACCCCCCACCCCAACCAAGCCTCGATTGCTTGTCCCTTCCCTCTGGACTCGCGCCCCCCCAGGTGTTGCGCCCGGTGCGGCTGGCACCCCTGGCACCCCCCACGCTACGCCACTGAGTTAGACATAAAATGCTTTTAAACATTTCTTTTGTGAGGCTCTTTGTGGGGGAGGGATTATTTTTCAGTTTTAAATAACTCACTAGAATTTAATTCCTACTTTAATAGTGCTTACATTATTTAAGATGGTACTTGGCAGTAGAGAAGCATTGCAGTGGGGACGTTCTTTTCCATGTAAGGGGCATCTGGGCAGCCCTTTAACAATATCTGAACAAGTATGCTGTAGAATTGTAAAGACACAAGAAAAGCGATGGCAAATAGTTTGCGTATGCTACAACGTTGCATTTACTTTCTGAAACACTCCTGTAGAAATATGTAAATTGTATTAATCTTGCAGATAGCTTCTTAGAATGGTAAATGTAGATGCTTGTTTTTGTTTAACTAAAATGGCGTTTAAATGTAAAATAACTACACTAGCAACAACAAAAATTTAACATATCTCCACAGGCAAGACTAAAGCTCTTTCCCCATCAAACAGGGGAGCTACACATTCTGGGAGTCGTTTACAATCTTGGCACCATTCAGAGTACTTCAGTGCTAGATGGAGTAGACCCTTCTGCTGTGATGCAAACAGGTATGCCTGTTGTATTTTTATGTCTAACACAGGGTCTAGTAACACATGGAATGTGGTCCATAGGGCTGGTTCATTCAGTTTTGCCCACTACTAATGGGATATAGGTATTTCAGTTCATGATTTGTTATCGTGACTAGACCATAGTCTTAACACCAAATTTGATACTTCCCTAGGCCATATGAGGGTGATAAGCTAGAGTTCTGGTTCCCTTGTAATATCTAGACCATAGTGTGGGTTCATGCACTCCTGTGCACAAGATGTAGCTCAGAAGGATCCACTTCCATTTTCAACTAACTGCGCTTTATGGCCCATCCTGGAACTGGTTTTAGGGTTAACGATGGTTTATGGAATTATTAATCGCAGTTTCAAATTGACTTGTTTTCAGTCTAGGTTTAGAAATAACAAATCACATTTATTTGGAAACTCAGCAAGTGCTTCTGATCTCCTTTTCACTGATGAAACCGGTGCAGGGAAGGGGATGGTGGAATATACAATCCCAAGGATTGTGTGCATAGTGCTAAACTGGGATTTACGTGTTATTACCAACATGGCAATAAAATACTACCTGTAAATATATGTGTCGACATCATGAGATGGCTACATCACATGAAAGAGATTTTCTTACTGCTGCAGTGTTGCCTGTTGAACTCCCATATTACTTAGTGAAAGAAAGGGTTTTCCAAATTCCAACTTCACCTTTACCAGAAGTAACATGAAAAGGATGCCACCAAGAAAGTCACCAGAAAGCAATGGCTCATTGGATCTGGACTTGTACAAGCAGCAGGGTGCTGTGCAGTGAGATTATCCTGCCCCCTCTTCCAGCTCCCATTAAAAGCTGCTTCTGAGGACTGGCACAGGATGTTGTGTGGAGGAAGGAGGTGTAAAAGCCTTGTTGTGTGAGCCACCACCTGCTTATACAAGATGGGATCCAAGCCAATCTGTTGATCATGTTGTAAAGTTACGTTTAACATTAAAACCTCATCATTTTAACAGCCAGGCACACATACCTTTTATGTCAACAAAATAATTTCATTATCTATATTTAGTTTCATCATTAAACAAACCTGTTTGGGAGGGATGATGATGAAGATGGTTTCTTTCAGTGTCCAATTCACTTTTAACAATTGTAAGCTCAATTCAATGTGATCTTAAAAACCAGCTCAAATTTTTTTTATCTGCTTACTTGTTGTTCCTCAATATCCTGTTGGTTTTCTTTTCAGGAAAATTTATCTCTAATGGAATGTCAGTACGGGGTCGACAAGATTTAGAAATACAGGGCCCTCGTTTGAATAGCACAAAAGAAGAGAAAACATCTATTAAATATGGACCTGATCGACGTTTAGATCCTATCATTACAGAGGAAATGCCTTTGCTAGAGGTACAGCTATCATTGACTACATTGTCAAATATGTAACAGCTGCTTTTGAAATACATAGGTGTTTCTTCCAGTTTTTCCTTTATTACTCTGTATCAGATTAAACTTGTTAAGTTATAGTGCATAGAGTTGAAATTTGAAGCCAGGTTAAATTTAATTCAAGTGTGTTGTTGTTTAGTCGTTTAGTCGTGTCCGACTCTTCGTGACCCCATGGACCAGAGCACGCCAGGCACTCCTGTTTTCCACTGCCTCCCGCAGTTTGGTCAGACTCATGCTGGTAGCTTCGAGAACACTATCCAACCATCTCGTCCTCTGTCGTCCCCTTCTCCTTGTGCCCTCCATCTTTCCCAACATCAGGGTCTTTTCCAGGGAGTCTCTCTTCTCATGAGGTGGCCAAAGTATTGGAGCCTCAGCTTCATGATCTGTCCTTCCACTGAGCACTCAGGGCTGATTTCCTTAAGAATGGATGCGTTTGATCAATTCAAGTGTAAAAGAGTGTTAAAGTGTAAAAGACTGTAAACTGTAAAAGAGCATGATGCATCTTCTTCCCCAGACTTATTGCACTGTATTTTTTCTAACGTTGGCTCATAACAGCTTTCTGAGAAAAAGAAAAACTATTTTGAATTCTTGTCACTTTCTATGTGGTACTCTTTTCATGTTAATTTTAGTAAAGGTGAAAATGGAATTTGGAAAACCACCTTGACGTGGGCTTGATTCTGCAAAAATTATTTCTATTGATAATTATGGACAAATAAGATAGTCCTGCCTTAATGAACTTTGTCAGTTTGTCAAAATGTGTTCCTATGTTTCTCTTCCAATGCAGGTCTTCTTTATAAATTTTCCTACAGGGCTGCTTTGTGGAGAAATCCGAAAGACATATGTAGAGTTTATGAATGTAGGCAAGTGTCCTCTGACTGGAGTGAAAGTTGTCTCTAAACGGCCAGAATTCTTTACCTTTGGTGGCAGTAGCACTATTTTAACACCACTAAGCCCTTCAGCATCTGAACACTGTAGTGCTTACAAGACTGTTGTTAAGCATTCTACCTCCCTATATTCTCTGACGTCCTCCGCTGATTCTTCAGACTTTGGGGTTGGAACAGGATGTCAGCCAGAAGTGATAGATGTCCCCCTTCCTGATTCTGTACTGCTCCCCGGAGCTTCAGTACAGCTTCCCATGTGGTTACGTGGTCCAGATGAAGAAGGTGTCCATGAAATAAACTTCTTGTTTTACTATGAAAGTATTAGAAAACACTCAAAAATGTGGTAAGCTTAACTATCTTCCTTACTTCCGAGTTAAGTGGAGTTTTGTTGGGGTGGATCCAGACATGTCCTTCCACAAACAGTAGGATGTCAGCCTGGAAGATCTTTCTGCAGAGTGTCCTATTAGCTTATAACAACAGTTTTATTATTGGCTGTAATGTTGAATCCCATTCAATTGGTTATATGCAGACACTTTTGCATGGGCAGAAACCTATATCCTTTTCATTCATTTAATGTGTAAAGCCAGTACTTCCTTTAAATTACATGTCTGGGTAGGTTACAAAATTTTGGGGTAGAACAGATTCAATACTTAATTAAATTTGTACCATTTTTAATCAAATGACTGCTTATAGTCTTCAGATTCTGGATGAGCCTGAGTATTATCATTGGGTTTAATTCTAAGCACGCAGATGAATGTACTACGTGGAAAACTGGATTTATTTATTATTTAAATTTTAATGCTGCTTTTCCATATACATATGCTTAAAGTGGCTCACAGCAGAACACCTCAGCTACATTTGGCATGAGGCCATGGAGTAGGTTTTTGTCTATTTTTGGATACCAGTGGATACTATTTTGTAACAAACACAGCAGTGTACCACATAGAAAAACAATATACCATAAAATAATATAAAATTCAGAATAAGTGTAAATCACAATGATCAACAGCACACACCGCTGGGATCACAGTTCAGGGAAGGCCTCTGTGATTTTTTAAAAAAGTATTAAGCAAGCACCTGAAGTTAAACTGTTATTTCTTGCCTACTATTAGTAGGAAGGGAGTCTAGTAAGGCAGGTGGCATCAGATATGTGGAACTTTTTAGAGTGAAATGAAACTTGATGCAAAGCTCCTTTCAGTGGGCATGTAGATGCATCAGAGCGAATTTCCCCTCATTTTTAATGTAAACCATCTTAATTGTTAGTGAACAACTTCCTGGTGCTGAAGTGCATGTGAGGGAAATACAAAGGCGGTGAAATGTTACATATTTTCTCTTTCCAGTCACAGAGTATTGAGACATACTGCCGTTATTTGTACCAGTCGATCACTGACTGTACGAGCTACCGTATATCGAAGCAATGCTCTTGAGGATGGAAAAGGTGATGGCGACAACATGCTAGTGTTTGTGGATGTGGAAAATATCAATACCGTAAGTCTGCTTAGAACTTGGTCCAATAGTGTTTGTATTTTTAAATTGAAACTTGCTGTCCTCAAAATGTTGGGGAGTGTGTAAGATATCCTTAGGTGGGATAAGAATGCACACACCCCTGCTTGAAGGCAGGATTGTAGAACCTTTAAAGGAAGTTGTTGTTCCTTCCCCTGGAGCTTCAGTTTGCTCAGAGCACATTGCTTATCTTTGTCTTCTCTAACTTTGACTTTTTAATATATATTTATAGATCTGTGCATAGTCTCTTAAAACTAATTTTCAAAAACTAATTTTACTGGATTGAAACTTCAGAACAGGCATAGGCAAACTCAGCCCTCCAGATGTTTTGAGACTACAATTCCCATCATCCCTGACCACTGGTCCTGTTAGCTAGGGATGATGGGAATTGTAGTCCCAAACATCTGTAGGGCTGGAGTTTGCCTATGCCTGGTTCAGAATAAAGTAATTTTAGTATCATTCCCTGTTCTATTGAACCTTTGGCGATGCAGACGTTTAACTTCTAACAGCATCTAGGGTAGGGTAAATTTAGAAATGTCACTTTGTAGTATTCAGCTTCATTATGCATAATTAAAATAATTGGCCTGTTCTGAACCTCTTCAGACGTCATTTTCTCTCTAGGGGTCTAGCTTGGGAGAGATTGGAGTGTGCTTCTGCCAAATGGGCCTCCACATCTGTACCTCACTTGGTTTGCTATGGAGGGAAGTGAATAACCAGATCTAAGAGATTCTGTGCCTTTGTTCCTCTGAGATTAAAATCTCTATACAGAGGGTTTAAACTTGCAGTGTTAAGAGAGATCTCCACATTCAAATGAATGCAGGATCTTCTGATTCAGTTACTTTCTTTCATCCACAACGAAGGGAGTAGAGGAACAAGCTGACAACCTTAAGGCCAACTTCTAAACTCTCTCCAGGCATGGACCTGGCAAGGTGGAGATAATGTGCTTAAGTAGGGCTTCGTTTATTTTGTTTTTTCAGTGGACAGATTAAAATAGGTGTGGAAAATGTGAATAATGAAATCTGGAAGATCTTCAGGTGCCACGACTCACACTCTCTCTTTTTATATGAAAACTTTATTTGAGTTACTAACTCTTGCAATGTATTAAATTCTATTGAGCAAATGCAGCCAGAGTTGAATTAGGGACAATTAGGTATCCTTAAAGTATACACCGGCTTAAAGTGCTTCCTGACAGGGCCTTTTATGGCAAGCAGGCCATTGAGATTTGATTTTTCTGTGTGCATGTTTGGCATGTTAGATTGTGTACATACATGTTCCTTACCCCACAGTCATAGATTGCTGTCCAATACTAGTGGGTGAAATTTGATGGAATGTTTCTGGAGGGTTTTTTTTGTCCCTACACTGTCCTTTTTCTGTTCTGGAAGCACCATTTTGTGAATTGTCCTGATCTAACCTTTTCAGAAAGATGCATGAATAAAAATACTAAATATTTTGAGTAATATCAAGCTATTGAACATTTTCTAATATATGACTTAAATAAAATTTCATCTCTTATCTCTCTTTTTGGTGCTTGCTTATTAGAGTGAAGCTGGTGTAAAAGAATTTCACATAGTACAAGTATCTAGTAACAGCAAGAACTGGAAATTACAGGAATCCATAAATCTGTCTGAAGACAAAGGTTTGTGAATTGCAGAAGTAGATATGGTAGTTCAAATTGTGTTTTGTATAAATGTTTAGGCTTGGATCCTAAGAACGGCAAGTTCAGCTCATCAAATGGAACTTTCCTGCTTCCTTTTGACTGCAGCTCCCTGCACCCCCAAAACTGTTCCTGAGGGTCTGTAGGACATTATTTAATGTAGGGGTGGGAGGGAGGGAACAGTAGTTGTGCTTGGGAAGTGGTGGGAAAGTTCTGGGCCAGAAAAGTTCTGGACCAGAAATTGTAACATTTCACAAGTAAAAGATTTAGAAGCACAAGAAGAATTTTTGTTAAGTACTTGAAGAAGAATAATAGTATTACCCTAAAACACACACACACACATGTTTGTGATTATGCTGCTGTGTGTAAAATATATGAGCTTAGCAGTTATGATGTTAAAGTGTAAACTTATATGACATGAGAAGCAATCCATATTTGGTCATTCCTTCTAGCAGATATTAAGCTGGCTAACAGAGAGAAAGGAAAATTGTGCTTGAAAGCAGTAAGATGCAAGCATTCAGTAGGTAAGTATTCATTTTTTTGGAGTATAATATTTCTATAATTAAATCTTCATTCATTTTTATGGGCTAACATTTTCTCCCTTTTCATTTGTAGAAAAGTATACATTTGCAGATATCGTTTTTGGAAGTGAACAGGTATACATGTCATTTTTTTTAATGCATTTATACAGTGGTGTAATACAACCACATGAGCAAAGCATTTATTCCAATAAATGATCTTGGGTGATGGGAAAAAACCTTGCTAAATCTAAAACACAGAAAAGTCAATGGTCCAAGTACCCATGTACTGAATAATAAAATAAAAATAAAGTATTGATATGTTTGATGTAGTTACTCACAAAGCTCAGGAGCGCTAATGTGCCTAAAGGCATTTTAAAAACATGTGATAATTACTCAAGTACAATCACATTCTCTCTTCCACATTGTATACACAGTTTTAGACATAAGCAGAATATGACCACAATCAATGTGCACGTCTGAATATTTCTTGGCCTTTGTTCAGAACAACTCTGCTGAACTGAACTGCTTTTTAAAAGTGCAGTGTGCGAGTGCGCAATTACAAGCATACAGTGGTACCATTTGCCTTTTTAAATAAAATTCTTGCGGTAAATCCCCAGACTGTTTTGGAACTGGAGGAACATGATGAACCATTTGGGGTTTCTGTAGAATTATAATTTGAGAGGCAACTTCTGAATGCACATCACTCTTGGATTACAGTTTATAGTTTGTTTTTCAAACAAAGATTTTACTGGCTATTTCTGAAGAACAACACCTCTGTTCCTTTTTTTTCATAGATAATCAGTTCAACCAGTCCATGTGCAGATTTCTTTTTCCGAAGCTTATATTCTGACTTAAAAAGAACTCGATCACAGCAAAGTGTGCACACATCACAAGGAGCTGCAAAACCGTCTCCTGACAATGCTGTCAGACTAATACAGAAGTGCAGTGAAGTGGATTTGAACATCATTGTACTTTGGAAAGTATGTATAAAATATAATATATTTCCACAGATAAGCAAAACAGCACAGTGGTGCCCCGCAAGACGAACGCCTCGCAAGACGGAAAACCCGCTAGACGAAAGGGTTTTCCGTTTTGGAGGCGCTTCGCAAAACGAATTTCCCTATGGGCTTCCTTCGCAAGACGAAAGCCCATAGGGAAATCTCCGGGACAGCGGGGAAGCGCAGCGCGTCTTCCCCACTGTCCTCGGACCTCCTCCCGCCGCCAGGCTTCAGAAGGCTGCTCCGAAGCCTGGCGTGGGGCGGAGAGGTTTTTTAAAAACCCCGGGACAGCGGGGGACTTCTCCGCTGTCCGGGGCGATTTTAAAATGCTGCCGGGTGGCAGCGCTGCCGCCCAGCAGCATTTAAAAAAACCCGGGACAGCAGGTTTAAAATCGCCCCGGGCGGCGCGTTTCTCCGCTGTGCCGGAGGGCTTTTGAAGGCAGGCGGGGGGAGCAAAGACTTTCGCCCCCTCCCGCCTTCAGAAGAGGTCCTGGAGGTCTTCTGAAGGCAGGCGGGGGGCGAAAGTCTTTGTTCCCCCCTGCCTGCCTTCCTGTTCTCCGCTGTCCCGGAGGGCTTTTGAAGGCAGGCGGGGGGGGGGGAGCAAAGACTTTCGCCCCCCGCCTGCCTTCAGAAGAGGTCCTGGACCTCTTCTGAAGGCGGGCGGGGGGCGAAAGTCTTTGCTCCCCCCTGCCTGCCTTCCCGGGAGAGCGGAGAAACGTGCAGCCTCTCCTTGCGGAGGGGTTGCGCGCAGCTATGGAAGAAGGCAAGGCAGCGAGCGGGATGGATCCCGCTCGCTGTTTTGCCTTCCCCTTTAGCCCCGAGCAGCCTCTCCTTGCGGAGGGGTTGCGCGCAGCTATGGAAGAAGGCAAGGCAGCGAGCGGGATGGATCCCGCTCGCTGTTTTGCCTTCCCCTTTAGCCCCGTGCAGCCTCTCCTTGCGGAGGGGTTGCGCGCAGCTATGGAAGAAGGCAAGGCAGCGAGCGGGATGGATCCCGCTCGCTGTTTTGCCTTCCCCTTTAGCCCCGTGCAGCCTCTCCTTGCGGAGGGGTTGCGCGCAGCTATGGAAGAAGGCAAGGCAGCGAGCGGGATGGATCCCGCTCGCTGTTTTGCCTTCCCCTTTAGCCCCGCGCAGCCTCTCCTTGCGGAGGGGTTGCGCGCAGCTATGGAAGAAGGCAAGGCAGCGAGTGGGATGGATCCCGCTCGCTGTTTTGCCTTCCCCTTTAGCCCCGTGCAGCCTCTCCTTGCCGGGAGACACTGCGCAGGGCTTTCCTGGCTTTTCTGGGAGGTGGGGGAATTCCCCCACCTCCCGCAAAACCGGCAGAAGCTGCGCGCACTTTAAAAGGGCTTCACGGCTTCTCCTGGCTTTCCTGTCCCCGACGGCTTTTGAAGGCAGGCGGGGGGAGCAAAGACTTTCGCCCCCCGCCCGCCTTCAGAAGAGGTCCTGGACCTCTTCTGAAGGCTGGCGGGGGGCAAAAGTCTTTGTCCCCCCTGCCTGCCTTCCCAGGGGCTTTTAAATCGCCCCGGACAGCGGAGAAGTCCTCCGCTGTCCCGGGGCGATTTTAAAATGCCGCCTGCCAGCATTTTAAGATCGCCCCGGACAGCGGAGAAGCCCTCCGCTGTCCCGGGGTTTTTTAAAATGCTGGGGGGTGGGTGGGAAGAAAAGCCCTTGTCCCCCCCCCAGCCTTCAGAAGAGGTCGGGGGACAGACTGTCCCCGGACCTGGTCCGAAGTCGGTTTCCATAGGAACGCATTAATTGATTTTCAATGCATTCCTATGGGAAACCGTGCATCGCAAGACGAAAAACTCGCAAGAAGAAAAAACTTGCGGAACGAATTAATTTCGTCTTGCGAGGCACCACTGTACAACCTAAGCATACAAAACAGTAGAGATGCTGTTTAATGTTATTGACTGACACAGACCTAGGAGACCGGGGCCATTTTAAAACACTTCCTAAAGGATAGCATTATCAGCCCCTGGTGAATGTGTCTGGAGATGAAGTTCAACAATTGGGACTGTATCAGAGAACACCCTGTTTCCAGTACTTAACTACATGTTTTTAAATATGTCATTTTAAGGGTTCTTTATAAATGTGTTTAATAACCAAATAAAAGTATCGGGATGGCTATAATCTGTTAACACTACAGTGGTGCCTCGCAAGACGAACGCCTCGCAAAACGAAAAACTCGCAAGACGAAAGAGTTTTCCGTTTTTGAGTCGTTCCGCAAGACGAATTTCCCTATGGGCTTGCTTCGCAAGAAGAAAGCCCATAGGGAAATCTCCGGGGACCTCTTTTAAATGCTGGCGGTGGGGAGCAAAGCCTTTCGCCCCCCTCCGGCCTTCAGAAGAGGTCCTGGACCTCTTCTGAAGGCCGGCGGGGGGCAAAAGTCTTTGCTCCCCCCTGCCTGCCTTCCCGGGATAGCGGAGAAGCGCAGCGCATTTCTCCGCTATCCCGGATGGCTTTTGAAGGCAGGCGGGGGGGGGGGAGCAAAGACTTTCGCCTACCGCCTGCCTTCAGAAGACCTCCGCTGTCCCGGGGGCTTTTAAAATGCTGGGAGTCGGCAGCGAAGGCTTCGCTGCCGCCCGCCAGCATTTTTAAATCGCCCCGGGACAGCGGAGAAGTCTCCTCTGTCCCGGGGGCTTTTAAAATGCTGGCGGTCGGCAGCAAAGCCCTCCTGTCCCCGGAGCTTGCGGGGCGGGAGGTGGGGAGAAGGGCTTTTCTTCCCACCGCCAGCCTTCAGAACAGCCTTCCCACCCCAGCCTTCAGAAGAGGTCGGGGGACAGACTGTCCCCGGACCTGGTCTGAAGGCGATTTCCATAGGAACGCATTGATTGATTTTCAATGCATTCCTATGGGAAACTGTGCTTCGCAAGACGAAAAACTCGCAAGAAGAAAAAACTTGCGGAACGAATTAATTTCGTCTTGCGAGGCACCACTGTACTCAACAATATATTTTACAATAGATCTATAACAGGTTATTATTTTCACCATAATTGTGTCTATTCTTAGCTGTCACTATTTGGAAAATTCCTGTTACAACTTACACCTTACAATTTTGTTTATGTTGTGATCTTTTACAACCTTTTCCTCAAACAGGCATATGTGGTGGAGGATAACAAGCAACTCATTTTGGAAGGGCAGCATCATGTTGTGCTTCATACAGTAGGGAAGGAGGCATTTTCTTTCCCTCAAAAACAGGTATCATGGAATAATTACTTTTTTTTGTTTTTAAGAAAAGCAAGGGTTTGTTTTTTACACACAAGCTTTATTGCAGTCCATAGACCCCAAAATACACAGTACAACAATAGTATATATCAACAGTTATTAAGGTGTAAAATCTGCCTTGCTAGCATTTTAATAGATGAACTTTGAGAAATATTTGGGGGGAGGAAATCTCCTTGACCAGATGGATTTCAGGCAGAATTCTATAACATAGTATATATTAGAAGTTCCATTATTAAGAACACAATGAATGTAGGAGTACTGAGATACTGCCAAACACTTGGAATGAAGGTTGAAGTAGGGTGCTGCATGGGGGGGGATGTGAAGATGGCCTATTGTATTAACCTGTTTTCTTGAAGCATGTCTAAATAAAAGTTATTTTGAGTCAAGTGCAAACATAATGATGACTTCCTTCCAACTATAGATCATGACTCAACCTCAGAAAATGTTTCCTCCCTGGTGCACATATTAACCACGATTAAGGCCAGCCAGGATTTCCCTTAGCAAAGGATCTTTAACTAACTTTAATTAGCATATTTGTGGATGGTGGAATATATTATCTTGCTCTGATACCTTTGTTTTTTTAGGGTTTTAAAAAAATACTCGGGAATTCTGACTGGGAAGACTTGGAACAGGTATGGGAATCCAGGGGAAAGATACATTTCTATAGTGCTGTATGGTCACCATTTCTGTTATCTGTTTTAATAACCTGCTGTTATCTCATCCTCCCTCCTCACCAAACAAGCTGGGTGTCACCACAAATAGCTTGATCTCTGCTTTTGACTTCCTTGCCTTTGAATAAATTCTTTGGAGGCTTGACACTCACACTGCTCTTAAAATTCTATTCTCCATGTAGGAAATTTATATATACTCTTTTCCCATCTCCTCCCCAATTTGTGCATAAAGTGATGTAGAGAATGACCCTACACCAGATTAATAAGAATTCAGTTCTTTCATGAGTAAAAGTATTTGGGGTTAGGTTGTTCTTATGCTTAATTATAGTGTCATTTCCCCCCACAAGGCTTAACTATCAGTAGCCTGTGCAATTCTTTCAAAGGCAGTGTAACACAATAATCTGCCCCAGTGAGCAGTAGAGGTGCCATATTCTCCCCTATCTGCAACTTCCAGGTTAACCTCAAAGGCACATAAAGTGCCTTTCAGTAATTTTCTCTGGAGGTTACTAGCACATGAATAACAGTAGTCAAGCTGTCCCAGTCCAAAAATGGGTCATAGATGTCTTACCATCCCAAGTTGGTAAAAAGCACTTGTAGCCACTGAAACCACCTGGGCCTTCATTCACAAGGTGACACTGAAAAGGCAAAGTTATTAGGTGTTTTGAGTCCAGGAAGTATGAAGAGAGCCAATACTGGACACGGTTGCAGTCCTCTGGAAGGAACAAGTTTGGAGCTTGTGCGGTAGTCCTGGATCCAGTGTCGTCACTTGAGGCCCAGGTGGTCTCAGTGGTGAGGAGTGCCCATTTCCCGCCCTGCCTGTTTTGCCTGCTGTGGCCCATTTTGGACAGAGATGGTTTGGCCATGGTATCTCTGTGCTCTGGTAACTTCCAGATTGGATTATTATTGTAATGTATCCTATGCAGGGCAGCCCTTGTAGATAACTTGGAAACTTCAACTGGTCCAAAATGCAGTGGGTAGGGTTGTCTTTAGAACTCATCTTGGACTACTGCAATGTGCTCTACGTGGTGCTACCTTTGAAGGTGACCCGGAAACTGCAATTAATTCAGAATGCAGCGGCTAGACTGGTGACGGAGTGGCTGCCGGGACCATATAACACCGGTCGTGAGAGATCTGCATTGGCTCCCAGTACGTTTCCAAGCACAATTCAAAGTGTTGGTGCTGACCTTTAAAGCCCTTAACGGCCTCGGTCCTGTATACCTGAAGGAGCGTCTCCACCCCCATTGTTCAGTCCGGACACTGAGATCCAGCGCCGAGGGCCTTCTGGCAGTTCCCTCATTGCAAGAAGTAAGGAAACCAGACAGAGGGCCTTCTCGGTAGTGGCGCCCACCCTGTGGAACACCCTCCCTTTGGATGTGAAGTAAATAAGCAGCTATCCTATCTTTAAAAGACATCTGAAGGCAGCCCTGTTTAGGGAAGTTTTTAATATTTAATGCTGTATTGTTTTTAACACTTGATTAGGAGCCGCCCAGAGTGGCTGGGGAAACTCAGCCAGATGCGCGGGGTATAAATAAATTATCATCATCATCATCATCATCATCTAACCACTTTTCTTAAGCATACACATTGCCACTTTGTTTCTGGGTCCAATTCAAGTTGCTCATGCTAGTGTTTAAAGCCCTGAATGACTTAGGCTCCAAATAACTGAAAGATTGCCTCCTTCCCTATAGTTCCTCCTGGGTGTTAAGATCAGCAGAGGGGGCCCTCTTGGTTGTTCCATCTCCTGCAGAAGTTTGATCGTATTGGACATTTCTTCTGCATTTGTTTTAAGGAAAGAATAAATGAACAGTTTTTTTCCTCTTACATGATTTGAATAAAATCTCTTATGTATTTCTCACATGCGGGATTGAGTTCTTCTTGATTTTATACGACTTTGCTTATTTAACACTTGTATTCCAGGAGTCATCGGAGATAGGGCTCTTCAATTTTTTTCGGCCAGAAAACACATCGGTACCTGCTAGGCCATCTCTGGATCAGTTTTCCAGCCTTATTAAAACTAGTCTTCATTATCCAGAAACCTATAACCACCCATTTCATCAAAAAAGGTTTGAATGCTTCTTTGTTCTAATTTAAGGAATTTAGATATTGTTGAATGTGATGCAAGTAGTCTTCAGTGGAAGAACTATGCAGTGCAACACTGAACTACAAAGAACGAAAAGAAATGACCATTGTAATAGTTAGCCTTTAATTTTAATAGTTATTTAAAATTTAAAGGCTATTTTTCATCACTGTTAAATAATATCACAAAGGCCTCTTTTGAAGCAGAGTATTTGGGAGGGATCTTGAGTATGGGAAGCTGGTGTAACTCTTTTTTGCTGACATAAATTCTGCTGGGTTGCTAGGTCACATGATCAAGCTGAATGGTGTAAGGATCCACAATAAGTCGACCCTGCCTGGTCCTGCCCCCACCGCTCCCCCAGGATGCCCATTTTCAGGACTTATACTGGTGTAAATTCTGTTGGTCCTTCTGGCTGAAGATCCACCACATCCTAACTAACTCATTGAATTAGATCTGGGGTTAGGCTTCCATCCTTTGCATTCTCAAATTTTGAATAAATTCAAGAGCTGAAAGAACCATGGGAGTTTCTCATGCTAAAGATCATTTTTTTTAATCAAAACTTCAGCCAGCATAAACTAAGAGCAACCTCATTCAAAATGTTGCCTTCTCTTATTGTGTTTTAACACCCCATGTAAGGTGGGGGTGAAGATATGGTCATGTGTCTAGTTCAGCAAAGAAGGGTACAGCAACTTCTGCTTCAGAGTGCTGCATTCTCTTTGGTTAAACACTTGTTTCTAGCCTCATGTTGCCACTTTGCATTTGAACCCAGAAAGGAGAATGGAGGCTGTTGCAGAGCAGCTTCATTATAATTTCCCATCTAGCTGAAGAATAATGATTCCTTTCTTTATTAAGAATTGTGGATGAGACAAAAGTAGCCCCACATGTTGCTAGGTTGCCTGAGCATTTTGGCACAAGAGCATAATGTGCTATAGATAATTCTGCCATCAGTGGACAATCCCTGCTCCAGAGACCTTGTAATTGAAAGATGTTTGTGAACAAACACAGGTAACATAGCTAAGATGGTGATTTATTTTGGAATTATAACTGAAGGGTTTGGCCTCTGGCTGATTTTAAGTGAACAGAAGTCTTTTTCATTCTTGTTAATAAAGGTGCATATTGTGTTGTGTAGTTGTGTTTTCCAAAGTCAGAAGTATCAGGACAAAGCTTCTAATGAGACTTTTCTTTTGTAGCCTTTGTATAGTACCAGTCACTCTTCTACTTTCAAATTGCTCTCAGGCCGATGTTGATGTGATCATTGACTTGCGACATAAAACAACAAGGTAATATTCTAAAGCTAAATTTTATGTTAATGAAGCAAATCAAATTTAGATATTCACCTCTAGACAACATATATTAATTAAAAGGGAAACCTGCTCTCCGTGTATGAACCACTTACTTCAATCTAGGTTTCTTGAAGGCAGTGGAAAAGTTACAAATGATGAAGGAGAAATGTTATCTAAACTTTCAGCTCAACAGTTTCAAATCTCTACTCACTTGCAAAGCTTCCTGGGTGATATTGTTGCAAGCAGTATCTTTCAGCCAGTATCTCTCATCACAAACTTAGGATAAAAAGAGTTGGGAATCATGTTTGCAGCCCAGACCTTGGAGGGGGTGGTGGTGGATAACAGTGTAATAAATTAGTAAGTAACTAAGTACTTCACATGTTTTCCAATTTATAATTTTGTGTTATGTAGGAGTGATTCAGAGGATTCCCTGTTAGATCCTACTATGAAATATTATTGTGAGGAAAGTCAATCCAGTTTGTTGACTCTGACATTCATAATCTGTTGGGGGAGATGTGTCTGGTTTTACTCCTCATATTATTTCCTTTGGTTCTCTAACATGCAGACACATGCACACACACAGTGACACCAGTACAGTTCCAGAATGTGTTTCCACATATTGGACACTGTTGATGTTTCAGGACTTAGCAATTATAAATGTGTACTGTTGCAAAATTCATCCACAAAACTGGGAAAGCAACACTGGCAGGAAAAGGGGAGGAGGGAACTCCCAAGTGCTTAAAATGAGATTTATTCCAAGCCCATCACATATTGGAATAAATCTTTGCTTGGAGGGTCTCTTGCATTTAAGAATTGCTGCTAAAACATGTCTCTGAGTAAGAATTTGTTCTGAAACATGTTGGGCATAAATATTATTTCATGCACCTAAACTTCCCTCCCTACTTTTCCCCCTTACCAGATTCATAATATAAAAAAGGTTGTGTGTTGTTTGTAGTATAGATGACAACCAATTATGCTATTGTGCTTGTGTGCACAGTGCTGAACCTGGAAGTGGCAGAAAACGTCACTAAAATGGGGGGCAGGGCACACTTATATGTGCTTCGCTGATGCATGCAGGGGCCAGGAACGGAACCCCCACATTAAATGGTTGTCGACTCTAATGCTCCTTGAATTGAGTAAGGAAGTACATGTTCTCCTTGAGTTCTTGGTGGCCTTAGATACCATTGACCACAGTATCCTTTTGGGAAGGCTTGGGAAGGTGGGGTTTGGGGCAGTGTACTTCAGTGCTTCTTCTCCTACCTCCCAGACCATTTCCAGAAAGTGGTTGGAGTGAGGGGCACGGCTCAACACCATTGGCGTTTCCCTGTGGTGTCCTGCAGGGTTCAGCCTTGTCCCCCATGATATTTCACAACTCTCTGTAGCCACTGGGGGCTGTCATAAGGAGATATGAAGTGAAGTGTCACCAGTATGCAGATGATACCCAACTCTATATTTCTGTTCCAACTGAATTGGGAGAGGGGGCTGAAGTCCAAGACTGGTGCTTAGAGGCAGTGATGCGCTGGATGTTGGCCAACAAATGAAAACTACTGATGTGTTCAAGTTCTCAAGTTTAGGAGGTGGAACTAGATGGGGCTGTATTTCCCTTGAAATAGCAGATTTGTAGGTTGGGTGTATCCAGCGTCATCACTGGAAACTTAGGTAGCTAGGAATGTCTATTTCCATCTTCAGCGGGTTCATGAAATACAACACCTTTTGGACAGAAATGACTTGGCCATGCTAGTCCACGCTCTGGTAACTTCCAGATTAGATTATTGCCATTCACTCTATGTGGGGCTACTCTTGAAAACTACTCGGAAATTTCAATGTTGCTTTTTAAACTTCTGTAACCTGCCCTGGAACCTTGTGGTGAAAGGTGGTAAGAATTGAAATAGTAATAATAGGCTGCAAACTTTGGAATGCATTAAACTGAAATTCCTTGTAGTGTGGATAAATAAGCAAAAAGCTAGTATAAATATAACTGGTTTTATTATATCCCAGTATGCTTTGATTAAATTATTGAATCACTGTCACTTTGGCTAAGTTACTCATAGGTTTATACTAACACTTTGGGGCATGAGCCGAAGAATATGACATGTTTTCTCTTTTCCAGTCCAGAAACACTTGAAATCCATGGTTCCTTTACTTGGCTTGGGCAAACACAATACAAGCTTCAGCTGAAAAGCCAGGAAGTATCCAGCCTGCAGTTAAAGGCCTGTTTCGTCCACACAGGAGTTTATAATCTTGGAACCCCGCGAGTTTTTGCCAAGCTTTCGGACCAGGTTACTTTGTTTGAAACAAGTCAGCAGAACTCGATGCCAGCACTGATCATCATTGGCAATGTTTGACTTGCTGCAGGTTTATTTAAAACCAAAAAGAAAAGAAGTGTTTTGAGTACTGTTACTTACTTCATTACTTTTAACCTGCAACCTTGGCATATGAACTGTTAAAATAGTGTAGATAAAATTCCAAACTATTACAAGTACTTGTCTCCTTCTGTTTCATAATGCCTGGTACATTAGACTTGACAGAACATTTATTTTTTAAAAAGTATTCCATAAATTAAGTGGAAATACACAACATTACTGGTGATATCCAATGTTAGTCATGCTCAGAACAAACCCAATGAAATCAATTGACTTAATTTCTGTGGGTCTACTTCATGTAACTTAATTGGGTATCATCCTCCTCGTATCAGAATTGGAAACTCCTGTATACCTTAGACCCTGTCAAATGCAGCCATACTGCTGTTAAAACCGGTGTTAATATTTGTGGCTGCATTAGGAAGCAATTTAGGGCACAGAACCCTGCTGGCATTTTTATTTGTTTGTTTGTTCATGAACCATCTTTTCATAACATTTCTGTGAAGTTCAGTAAGATACAAAAATAAATCCTACCCAGTTTTTCATTTTCCACTTTTAAAAAAGTGAAATTGGGATTTCTTTCATATTCTGATAGCCAGTCCTCTTTGCAAACTGCATATAACTCCACTTAATATCCTTTAAAAACAGAAAACCCCAGTTTAGATATGTTCTCATTCATCTCAGTACAAAATGCACTATTTCACAACCATTAAAGTTTGTCATGTAAACACATCCACTTTATTATGTAACTATAACAATTCAGATGATCTGTTTAAATTACCAGTTAATTAAGCTTTTCGAGAAATGTATTATATTTATAACAAATGTGCTGTAAATAGAATAAAATGTGCACCATATTCACTGTATTGATTTATTTCATAATGTTTCTGAAATGATGACAGAAATTAAGTAGATGCCTGTTAATGGTTTGTTCTGGACCGTTGTCTTGCCTCAGTAATGAAGCAGATGAGAGCCAAGAAATTGAAGCTCAGCCCAGATCAAGATTGAGACACAAGACACTGTTAGTAGGCGGTACCCTAGACCGGATGGATGGGAGGTGGCTTGCTCTTGATGGGGTAACACTACCTCTGGAGGAACGGGTATGTGGTTTGGGGATCCTTCTGGATCCACTGCTGTCGCTTGAGGTGCAGGTGGCCTCGGTGGTGCGGAGTGCCTTCCATCAGCTTTGTGTGGTGGCCCAGCTGCACCAGTATCTGGACAGAAATAGCCTAACTTCTATATTCTTTGTTCTGGTAACCTCTAGGTTACATTACTGCTTCACATAATATGTGGGGCTGCCTCTGAAGAATGTTTGGCAGCCTCAAGTGGTGCAGAATTTGGCAGCCAGGTTGCTCACCAGGACAAGACGGTTTGAGCATATAACACTGATCCTAGTCCAGCTGCACTGACTGCAAGCTTCTGGGTGCAATTAAAAATGCTGGTTTTTGACCTATAAAGTCTTAAATGGCTCAGGACTGCAGTACCTCAAGGACCACCTCTCCCCATATGAACTGTCCTGGACCCCGTGATCATCATAGAGGCCCTCCACGAGAGTTCTAGAGGGTAGCAACATGAGAACATCCCTTTTCTGTGGTAGCTGCCTGATCTCCCCAGGGAGGCTTGCCTTGCGCCTTCACTGCATATCTTTAAGTGCTAGGTGAAAATGTTTCTCTGTAACCAGGCCTTTGGCTGATTACACATTCTGTAGCCTTTTAAATGTGTTTATGGGATGAGGTGGTGTTGGTTTCTTTGGGTCTTTTAATGTATTTTGTGTTTTCATTTTGTATATGTTGTGAATCACCCTGTGATCTTTGGATGAAGGGCAGCACACAAGTTTAATAAATAATAATAAGTTAAGTGAAACAGAGTTGTAGGTTTGGGGTTTGAAGTGGGGAGCCCCAGTTCTGTGTATCCTCAGATTGACAGTTCACCCATGTAGGACCACCCCCAGCTAAAAAGTAGGATTCTGCAAAGGGGTTCACAAGTTGGCTGGAGACAAATTAGGATCATCTAAAGCATTCCAATGTGAAACTGGTTTGACAAACAACACATCAAACATGAACAGGATGCATATGCGTTTTGGATAATGTATGATCATGGATTAAAATCTCAGCACAGGAAATGCAGCAGGTGCACAATAAACGGGAATGTGAACAACACCTGGGCAACAATTCCTTCTCCACCAGGGAAGCAAAGCAAAGAACAAAACAAAACAAAACACCCCTTTCAAAATGAGCCAGAAGTACTGTCAAACTAATCAGGCATTCCCTTCTCTGTTTGAGTAGAGGAAAATCAGAGTAACACACACACCAAAACACTGCTTCAAATTGAAGCAGAAACTACCTTCGACATTGTCTCAAGAAGGGACTTTCAGGATTAGTTTGAAGCCAGTTTTGAGTCTTCAGTAATGCAGGTGTAACTATGTTTCTGTAAGGCACTTGAGAATCAGAGTTCTGACTTTGTGAGCTGCAGTGCACTGCTGATCCAGGATGTCATGAACACATCTGCCCCAAGTATAGAAACGCAGCATGAGTTTGGAAGCAGTCGGACAGCTGTGAGCAGTTCCCCTCCCCCTCCGCCTGACACAGAATGGAATGTAGATAAGGTGTCAGGAGAGTGTGGGAGGGAGAGAAATCAGCCCGCTCAAGCAAGCAATCCCCTGAGCCCAAGGAGTAGACGTATGAGAAAGGTAATAGGTTCAGCATATTCTGCAGAACCAGGAAGCACTCCTTAGAAGGGCCGGCATGGACGCTTGGTTAGATGTCCGAGACTAATTGTTTGTATTGCAATAAATCTTCAAGCTAATTACAACTTGTGTGTTGTGTTATCAAGACGGCAGCCACACACAGAGAGAGAGCACACCCTTATCTCCAATATAAATATTCTATCTAAATCTAATCCAATATTTTTGTCCCCAATTTTTCAAATTACTGAGAAGTTTGTACTTTTTAAAAATAGTGGGGCAAGAAGAGAGTAACATGGGCTGCTTGCTTAGTATTTCAGCCTTCAAGGCAGCATACCATGTAGCATCAGAGTGCAATAGAGAGCTTTCCCCCCAAATCCAAAGCCCATGTGACAACTGTTTCCACCCACACTGAAAAACAACCAAAACCACCACACACATACATCCACAAACCTAACACCGATTACTGCCTATGAAGCACTATTCTGCTCATATTTGGATAGTGCAGAAAGAAAAAGGAAATGTGAAAAAGTTTTCTTGAGTCTGTGCCTCCCCCCCCCGTTCCCCCTCCCCGCATGGATGCGTAAGACACTGTGGAAACAACAGTGCATTACTCTCTCCCACTGTGGATTTGGAGCTGTGAGTTTGCTCAGTGCAGGTACTCATACTGCTAAAGTCAGAGAACCATCCACAAAGCACTTTCTTTTGACAACTTGTATTTATTAAAACTCATACATTTTTAAAGCATCCCTTATCCATAAATACTGGTTTGCAAACCAAATGGTATTTCCTTTCAGTGCTGTTGAGAATTAACCTACCCCTCCTCAGAGCATGACATTACAGGACTAAAATATTACGCCCAAACTGTTTTCATTTTTGCATTTTCCTTCATTAATTTAGGAAAGTAGTATACCATCAAAATAGAGCCAAATATGATAACCAGAAGACTAATAAGTGTTTTACCAACATTGATCTGAGACTTTGGGAGGGCGCCATGTACATACACACTGAAAACCGTTGTTAGGTCACAGTAGCTATAGTATGTATCTACAACAATGGCTTTGAAGACATATATGCCATTGTACTGTGGAAATAATATTCTGTTCTTCTCATTCCTGTTTAGAACATGATACGGCCTGGAAGCTGATGGCAAAGGCCCATTTTCTTGGGGAATCTTACAATTTTCATAAAGCAATCTGTTCCACACATCACTTGGCTCTTTTCCAGGATCCTCTGCCATTATAGTGATCCAGTTCTGCGCTGCTGTCCTACACTCGGCTTCTACTTCATTCAGGAGATAATCATAATTATGCATGCCATGTATTTCATACAGTACAAAATCAGCAGAAACATATTCTATGAATTCATCATTGTCCCACAGCTCAAGAACGGGGAGCCATGGGCTGTCATAGTACAACAGAATAGGACATCTCCAAAGATCATAACGATAGGTAATGTTAAGGTTTGGCTGTGACAATTTTTTTCTGCCAAGGAACTGTGGGTCATATACCTTTCGATCAATTGAATAAACAAAATTATTCTGCAGCACAATATCCTGAAAGAGACCTCTGTTGCATGCTGTTGTACTCTCAGCAATTTTGATATGTTTCTTAGGTGAACAGCCCACTACAATAAGGGCTGTAATTGGGTGCATGTCAATACAGAATATGGCTTTGTTGTAGATATCCACCGTGATGGTGGATATCCTGCTTGAGTAAACAGTATCCTGAAACTCGAGTTGAGACATGCCCGAGAAAGCCTGTTGAAGCAGCCTAATATGTAGCCTGTATTTAGTGTTTCCATCAAAGGTAAAGCCATCCTGATCAATTTGTGCTTGAAATGCCAGTGCATGGGGATTGCTCACAGTTACATATGGATGGGTCCCAGTGCCCGGCTTGGGCACAAATGTGACATTAAAATGAAGTTCCTGCTTCATATCAATATAATATATTTTGTTATGGAAATTACCACTGAGGATCTCTACAGGACAGGGCTGCAGCGGTGGCCGTAAAGTCATGAGTGTGTCCTGTATGTTAATAATGCATTTCTGAAAATGATACAATGCAGAATCCATGCTCGGAATAAGACTGACAAAAAAAAGCACCCCAATATTCTCAAACATCATCGCCTCACAAGGGTCAGTGGGTTTGCCCTTGGTTTTATCACCAATGTATACCATCTGTGTTGATTCCATGTCCAGGGTTCCATAGAAAAGTTTCTGGTTCTTGGTGAGGGCTGCAATCTCATTTCTGTTGGCAGCTACATTACAAAGGCCTTGCACAGGTAATGTCACATTAACATATTTATCAGTGGGATGCACTGTTATCAGAGCGACATTCAGGCCGTGGTTGAAAGAGAACACGAAAGTGTCTTTTGTCCAAAGGAGAATAAAACCTCTCAGGCCAGGGGGAATTATGCCAATAACAGATTCATCTGCATAGAGTTTCATGTCGAATTCTGCACCTTGTTCTTGATGGGCTAAGTTCATATCTGTATATGTAAAATAAGCTTCCCCATCACCATCTGTTTTGTTGAGGATAACTCCAAGTTGTGCCAAGGAAACAAAGTTGTAGATACCAATCAGTGCATTTTCGTAACCAGCAGGGCTTGTTTTTACAAATCTGTATCCCCCATTTTTGGAGGTGAAGATATCAGTGGATTCAGTAGGCTTTCCAGTTGTATAAGCCACAATGAAATTGCTGGTATCGTAACAATTAATGTCCTTCAAAGAATAACAGCAGTCCATGTTTGTGATATCTGTAACGGGGCTATCGATGCCAGCTGACACTTTCCAAGTTTTCCATGTGCTATAGAAATACACATAGACCTTTCCATTTATTACGAAAAGCGCTCGATTGTTTTGCACAAAAAGAGCACTAGTGACTTCAGCTGGTGAGCTTTCTATTATAGCTGGAATGGTCATTGGCAAAAGACTGCTCTGAAAATTATCTTGGCTGAGGAAAACCTTTTCCCCAAGATATATGGCTGGAGGAGTCTGTCCTCCAAAGTAGAATGCCTCACATGGGTGTGGTATTAGACGAGGGTCCTTATATTTGTATGAGAGAACAGTGCCGTGTGATACCATACTTGAATTGAAGGAGACGCTTGATATAATCAGTAGTTCATGAGTGCATGGCCAAGAATCACCCCTATCCAGACACAGCAAAAAAATCACTAATATGATTACAGAACTGCTTGGCTTCCGCATTGCTGATTTCTGAATTATTCTCTCAAGCCAACCCCACAATGCATGAACAGATGTGTTCAGTGTGAATGCTGTTAGCTGTAGTGTTTTTAAACGTCTGTTTTGTTCCAGATTCTAATTCAGTTATTCTGAATTCCAAGTGGCAGTTGGCTGTTAGATGGGATGGGGTACCTGAGGAGATTTCACATGATGCTCATTATAGCTTCTGTGTTGTCTTGTTCCTGAATAAAAGATGATAAAACGGATTCTTTTAACCAGGAAACAGTGAAACCCCACTCTCGTTCTCTACACCCACAAGCATGTGCATGCAAAATATCACATCCACTCCCTGAACCGTCCTCTATTGCTTGTTTTTGTACCTGGCTGAACCAGAGGGATGGGGAGGGTTGCAGGGTCCACCACATAGGGTTGGCTGAGACACCAGCTCCATCTGTCTCCCTCTCTTCCTAAGCTCTTATTCAGGTGGCCGTTCCACAGTGGGAACGTAGGTTTCGGGGTGAGTTGATCATGGTGAGAGTTTGCCAAACATGCCTTCCTCTTAGCTTGTTTCTCCATTTCGTCCTGAGTTTGAGTGTCTTCAAAGTCCATGACACCTTTGGTAAAAGCTGTTCACCAATTGGAATGCTCCTAGGCCAGTGTTTCCCAATTGTCAGTGTTTGTTTTACTTTTTTTTTAGATTTGCCTTGAGAGAATCACTAAACCTTCTTTGTTGACCACCAGCATTATGCTTTCCATGTTTAAGTTCAGAATAGAGTAATTGCTTTGGAAGACGATAATCAGGCATCCACAAAACATGACTAGTCAAACAAAGTTGATGTTGAAGAATCACACTGGTGATCTTTGCTTCTTCCAGTACACTGGCATTAGTTTGCCTGTCTTCTCAAGTGATATGTAAAATTGTTCGGAGACACCGTTGATGGACTCTTTGAGGAGCTGGAGATGGCGTTTATAAGTGGTCCATGTTTCACAAGCATATAGTAAGGTTGGTAGTACAATAGCTTTGTAAACAAGCATTTTGGTTTCCCTGCGAATGTCCAAGTCCTCAAACACATTGCACTTGCAGAGCTCAGGCAATGCTGTATTTCAGCATCAAAGTCCACCCTTGTGGAAAGATAATTACCCAGGTAGAAGTGGTTGACACTTTCCAATGTTACATCATTGAGTTGGATTTATGTTGCTGCAGTGGGTTTATTTGTGCTTGTTGGTGCAGCACTTTGGTTTCTTGGATGTTGAGCGATGGGCCAAGCTTTCCATAAGCTTATGTGAAGCTATTTAGGATGGTTTGATACTAGGACTATGTGTACTTTACCCAGTGGCAGGCCAGAGACATTAACCTTTATCTTACTCCATTATTGGGCTCTAGCCTTTCCTATTCCGATTAGGTTGTTACTTTAAAAGACAACTGTTCTATTAAGTTGCTGAGTGGTTGCTTCTCCTATCTCCTTTCAGATGGTCCTTAAGAGTCGTTTGGAAGCAATCCCGCTTAATAGGATCTTTAAGGGCTTGAGTGGTCATTTTGCGCCTTGGTTTCCTTCCTTGAAGCCTGCATTGAGGTATAATCTTGATAGCCATCGTGGAATGTATTAATCAGTGATCTGTCCATCAGTCATCAGTCATCGTCATAGCTCTGGTAAGGAGTACATCGCGGCGATCTTCAGCTCAGACATACAGTGGTACCTTGGTTTACAACCATAATCTGTTCCGGAGGTCCAGTTGTAAACCGAAACAGGTTGTAACCCAAGGCTGGCTTTCGCCATTGGGGCCTCCCCCCCCCCCAATTGTTTGTAATTTTAAAAAGGGTTGTAATCCAAAAAAGGGGACACGCACTTCTGGGTTTGATGTGGTTGTAATCCAAAACGGTTGTAATCCAAAGCGGTTGCAAACCAAGATACCACTGTAGTCTAAGAGGTGCTAGTAGTACAACCGTGGGTGCCTCCATGATATTTTAAATTTTTTTTGGTCGAAATAGTGTGTTGGTAATAACAAGGTTGTGTGCTGCAAATATAGTCAAAAGTAAGATTCTGTTCTGGTTGCTGTTGCCAATTCCTTCTTTCCCAATAGATCGAAATCTCACCCAACTCTTGCATTAAATTCACCCAGGAGGATAATTTTATCCTCCTTAGGCTTATCTGATAGGATGGCATCCAGGCGATAATTTTTTTTTCTTTAATGTTTTCATTGGCATCCAGTGCATAAGCGCTTAAAATAGTAGCCTGTTGGTTTTTGGTGAGTTTGATTTGAAGGGTTGAAAGTTGCTCATTAATGCCGGTAGGGACTTCTGACAAAAGCTCTACAAGATAGTTTTTGATAGCAAAGCCTACCCCATGTATTTGACGTTCTTGTTCAGGTAGACCTTTACAGAAGAATGTGTAGAGTTTTTTTTTATTCTTTCAGTTGTCCCTCTCCTGTTCTTTGAGTTTCTTGAAGTGCTGCAATATCAATGTTAAAATGTCACAACTCTCTTTCAGTGATGGCAGTCCTGCATTTTGGACGCTTATTATCTGTGTTATCCAGCAAAGTCCATATATTCCATGTTTCAAAGTTCAATTGTCTTTTACAACTGCTAGGTGGTGACCCCACTGGGTGTGGTAATCCAGTCAGGGGAAAAAGCGAGGCAGACTATGTTTAGGGCACCTTTTCTAGCCCCTCCGCCTTTTTTGGGTGGGTAGAGTAGATCCTAAACAGGGCTGCTCAGTTGTGGATACAGCTGCTGAGCTACTCAACTGTCTCGTTGAGTCAGAATGACTGAATCTGTATCCACCGCCCATGAGCTGGTTCATGATTAGGGGCTTCCAGATTTCATGGTCCTGCCTCCATTACCATTTGCTGATCATCATGGGACTTTTTTGGGTTTGGGATGGGTTTTTGGAAGATGCCTGTGTGTGAATTTGTTTTATGTGGGTAGATCAGCGCACGCTGACCAACGCACAGTCTTCACAGTAAGGCTCTGTTCCGATAGCATGAGTATCACAATGACTGGTAGATTCTTATCTGCTGCAGCCTTCATCCACCTTCACAGCTGTTGTAACATACCTTCTGCCTGGTCTGCCGTTGAGAACGTCTTGGATCATTCTTTGTCTAGCTCCTCCCCTTTGACCTTACCACCTTAGGTGAACCTGCGGGGAGTATGAGACTCAGGATGGCTTCGCTCACAAGTGTCATGATCCAGTGAGTGAGTGATGATCCTGCCCCAGCCTTATCCTATTCAACTTGGGTGCTTTGAACTCCCATCTCCTCCTTGGTTAAAACATATAATTTTGCAAACAAACAAAAATAAAGATTCTTGTAAACTGACACCTGCTTTGTAGTAAGCGTGACAGGAGGGGGTGCAGAGATGCATAATCAAAGATGAAGAGGAGGAACAGGCTAAAGGAATGCATGTGGAGGAGGCTCAGCATACACAATCTGCTTAGGAACAAGTTGCAGCCATCCTCATGTTTGGCTCCTTGACTGGCTTCAGAACTGGGAGGAAGCAAGGTCCCTGGGACCTTGCAGGTGAAGGGCAGAGTGGAGAGCTCATGCTGTTTTGTCTGCCTGCCCCAATGCTGTGTAGAGGAATCAACAGAAGGTAGGGCACAAAAGTGGAGGAGGAGGAGGATGGCTTTCAGCTTTAGCCCTGGCAAATTGCAAGCAAGATGCAGCCACACCTGAAACACAAATACTGCCTCCATTCAGTAAAAGAAAAGAGAAACTTGCACTGAGTTTGTTGGATGGAGAGAAAAACAGAGAGGGGGAGAGAGTGAACTTCTCTTCCCCTCCCATATAGGCATGTCCTTCCCTGCAGATCTATATGGGAAGAGGCCTCAAATAAGCCCCACAGAAGTTTCAGACTGTTAGTTGTAATGAATGTGAGCATGGTGAAGGATGCTATGTTCAGTTTTATTTTAAAAGCAAGCAGAGGCGAAAAAGTTATTTAGAAAGTGACAAGTGGATTAATGTGTGTGGGTGTGGGGTGTCAAATTGCACATGACTGCTAGGAAATGGTAAAGATGCGTTCTTAGGCAAAGCTTCTGAAAGTCAACACTTAACTGTGATTTTATGGGGATAGTATTCCACAGCCATTGTGGTTCCTTTGCATAGTATCCTTTATGAAATAAGAACCGCCGAGTTTCTCAAAGCCATCCAAGTTACTCTTTCCAACGATGCAGCGACGCAGCTGGTTGTGGTGGTGGGAAGCGGGAAGCCCTAGGAACCGGCACTCTCTCCTGGTCCACAGTTAGGTTAGCGCCGTGCTCCTTAGTCGCGGTGCCACATATCAGCCCCTAGAGGGCGATGATGTCATAGGAAGTCTGCAATTACCACCCATGTTTTATTGTTGTATTAGCATATTACAAGTACGTGCCGTTCCAAAACCAGGCACTTCTCCGACTCCAATGCAGAAAGCATCCTGGTGAATCTGACCATCTTCTCTGTTTCCTCTCTCTGCTCGGTTTGCTGCGCCGGGTACGTAAACCTAGCGGTGGTGACCGGCTTGCCCGGGCTGCATCGGAGACGAGGCGGCGAATCGCAGAAGCCACTTTTGAGCTGTCAGCGTCGATGTGAACAGTGGGAAAACGGAGCACGTGCAGAGCACCTTTCGCGCGCCCATCTTGCCCCTGCAGAACAGCCATTCTCTGCATGCAACTGCTGTTTCCCACTAGGACACAGATGATCCTATTTTAGGCTCTCACCATGAGCAGACGAATATCCACAGGATCAGTGCTGAGTGGATGGAGGGGTGTGGCTATTCTGCCGTGTTGCAGTGTCTAGCATACCCATCCAGAGGGCCGTGAGCTGCTAAGTATTGAGGAGGCCTGGATCCCAGACCTGTCTCGGCCAGCGAGCTCACTGGGTTGCCTTGGGCAAATCAGATCTCCACCGCACAGTTCCAATCAGGATTGTTATGAGAACAAACTAGGATCCATTCCTTGGGAGAACAGCGGGATACAAATGTGGACGGAAATAAAATAAAAAGAAATTTATTTACTTGAAGCAATGGTAAGGCATGGGAAGGCGCTCTGTGTGTGTATGAGAGAGACGTTCATTATGTGCTTCACAACTGAAGTAACAGACGCGGCCGTCTAAAGGCGCCTGTCCCTAAATCTGAATCAACCCAGAATTTAAATTCGCCCAGCAGCCCCACCGCAAGATTCCAACGAAGTAAGAACAATTCTACTTGGTTTCAGTTTAGATTGTGGGCTCTGGGTTTTCTACCCTACTTAGCGCCAGCGCTTCGCCCTGGCGCAATCGCAAGGCGCACGCCAGGATCTTTTTTATTATTATTAAATATTTTATTAGTTGGATATAGGAACAATATATAATCAAACACAAGCAATCAAATACAATTTCCCCCTATCCCCCCCCCAATTAGCGCCAGGATCTTGAGAGCCCTTGTGCCGTCGGAGAGACGCCGCCGATATTTCTTTGGCCAATGGGAAGATGCGGAGCAGATCTGCTTTCTTCTCACTGGAGGCGCCGCTTCAGGGTCTTTCCGCCCGCATCCAATCCAGTTTCTCAAAAGGCGGGAAGGCTGCTGGGAAGCCGCCTCATGCTGGAGGGCCAGTCGCTATCAGGGGGGTGGAGGAAAGGGAAACTCCCTCGAGTTCCCCGCCCGTGGCTATAAGATGAGGGAGCCCCCCGAGAGAGCGGCTCCCTTTAGCCCTTGCCATGGCCCTTCCTCCGGCCTCTCAGCAAGCGGGAGAAGCGGGCGGAGGTGAGGAAGAAGCGGAAAGTTCTGCTCCCTGAGCTCCCCAACTTGGCGCCGTCGCCTCAGGGCAAGGGGCTCCTTGTGCTTCGCGCCTGCAGGAGTTGTGTGCTAGTAGTAGTAGCGTCATGCTGGAGCAACGAGTGGCGTCGGCGGCAGAGGCGCTTCCCTCGCCTCAGCCCCGGCTCAAGCCCGCCCCAATCCGCGCCTTCGCCTTCTAGACCCGCGGGCATTGCCTCTGCCGCCTCGTGAGTCACTGGAGGTTCCTTGCCGAAAGCACTTCGTTTCTTTCGGGCGCTTCGCAGAGCGGCAGCGTCGGCGGCGGAGAATGCGAGCGCGCGCCGCTGCGCCGACTTCCCCGCGCGCCAGCCCGGAGCCAAGGTAAATTTGCGCGCCCGCTCACCTGGCCCACCTGCAGCTTCTAGCGAGCGCCTTGTGGGAAGGGAAACTGGCAGCCTCTAAACCTTGGACTGTTTGTTGCCTACTCGACTCTAAAGTTCCTGATGACTTGATTTTTTATTTATTTCCAGTCCCCCCCTTCCTTCAATCTGTCTCCAGTTTTCTGCCAGGACGCCCCTGTTTATAGCCGCTGCGTGCCCGACTGAAATCTAAGAGCTTCATGCCAGGCTAGATTTTGAGCAGGTGGGCCAGTGCCAAAATGAAGATGTCCTGATGGGGAGAGCAACACCTGTTGAATCTCTGCCAGGCATCCGGTTATAATTGGACAGAAAGGTTCTGCCAGTAAAAACAATGAAATTCAGATGGCAATCCTGTTGGGTTTTCAGGTTCAGTACTAAAGTAGTGGGTTCAGAGAGGTAAGGCCAGGTACTGGTGGAAAATGAAGGCTTAGCTATGCTGTGCCTAATGAGAAGTAAGTGCAAATAACAGTGGTACAAGAATGTGGTGTCTTACAGCACTGTCTAAGAAAGTTGTGGCCAATAACTATATGTTGTTATCAGTTTACTCTGTGCTGTTACTCCTTTTGTTGGCTGTGAAGGTGTCCAGCTTCTGAGAGGGTCAAGTAGCAATCCAAATGGGCAGGGTGCCTGCAACCTCCTTTTATGATCCCTGTGAGGTTTGTGCCATGCAAGATTGCAGAAGGGTCACCTTGCCTTAAATTCCACAAGCTACTTTATCCAGCATCTGCTGTGACAAAGAACTGCCAACAGCAGTTGCTAATTCTGAACATCTTTGACACTACAGCTGCTGTTGTGGATTCATCTGTCCTCTTAAGAATGCAAAAGAAGATTAAAAGAACGTTCAGGGCAGGACATCTTGAAGGGGCAATGCCTGCTCTGTTAATTTTTGAGGGAGTTGGTGTTACTTTTAGCCTGCTGGGAACTTGGAACTGTTGAGCTGTGTGATAAGGGGCAACTCTGCAACAAAAAGCATCTGAGGTAATGCCATAGCAGAGGTGCTCAACACAGCTCAGACTTTCTGTGCGTATTGAGACAGGCAACACGACTGGGGTCTTTTTAAAAAACGTATTCATTCATTAGAATCTGTCAGGCTGTGAAGCTATGGTTCTTCGGCCCCTCTGTTGCAAGTACTCATGTAGTGTGAAAGGGAGCCGATTGCTCTCTGTAGTGTAGCTTTCATTTTAACCACATCTCTCACCAAATTAGCTAACAGCTCTTTTTCCCCTGCTTCTGCTCTAGAAGAAGGCAGTGCTACGTGCTCCTGCTAAATCCAGAGTACACAGAATATGGGCAAGGTGTTCTGGAGGATCCTTTCCTTTCCATAGATCTTAACTATTTGAACTTTCATTTACTATGAGCAAGAAAAGGATGTTCCTCAATCACATCACCCTTGTCTATTTTTTTATACTGCTATTGGTGAGCTTTAATTTCAAAAGTAAGTTCAGGGAGTTGTCTTTAAAAATCTTTGTACAACAGTTATTAATTGTAGATGCTTTATTTAAAAACGATGATGGAGTGGATAGTAGCTAGTTGCCTGTTTCCAACCATGTGTTTGGAGTGTGACAAAATCTTTGTGTCTGTTCTATAATCCAATGTACTTGTACTCTGTAGACATAACAAGTCAAAGACACTTAGGTATGCTTAAACACCAAGGTGGTTGTTTTCCCAATGATATGTTCTGCATAGTTTCTTCCAGCTTCCCAGGTGTCCATCATATACTGCTTTTTGGCAGATGGTACAATGGAAACACATTTTCCACCTTCAGTGAGGTCTCTAAAGGTCAAGAACTCTAAACATCTAGAGCTGGAACGGCAAATGTGCAGCCCTTTTGTGTTGGACTCCCATCAGCTCAAACCAGCATGACCAGTAGTCAAGGTAGTGACAAACAGGTATGATGCACTCTAGCAAAGTTATGAACATAAAGTTACAGAGGTGATATCTTATGAATACTTTGGCTGGCACCCATTGTCCTAATCAATTGAAGACATCAACTTTTGGCATATGCTTGTTGGGTCTTGCTATAAATATCTCTTGATTGCAAGCCAAAAATGATGTAGCTAGTGCAAGCCAGATATAAAACAATAAGGGATTAATAAAACTTTTCAGTATCGTGTCATATGAGGTCTCTCCAATAAAAACACAGCAGTGTTTCCAATTCTTTTGGCTCAGTTTGACCTGTTTCCATTAAAATAATTGAGAACTGATTGTCCAGTCTCCCCAGGTCCTAGGTCAACATTTTTTTAAGTTCAGTTAAGTTCATATATCTATATATTTAACTTAAGTATATATCTGTCAATTAAAAAAAAACTTTCATTTAATATTATATAAATTTAATATACTAGTAATTCAGTCCCATTAGGGGAAAAGGCAGGGCATAAATAAATATAGAATAATAATAATCACCTAGTAAACACTAACAATAGCTAGTGACTTACAGCATGTGTTCTGGGAAAAGAGAAAGTTAAAATTACCTATTAAATTAGTAAAAGTCTACCATCATGGCAGGTGGTGTGTGTGTGTGTGTGTGTGTGTGTGTGTGTGTCTGTCTGTCTGTCTGTCTGTATGTGAAAATAAGAAAATAAGCTCTGTTTTCACATACAGACACATACAGAGCCTTCATCAAGTGATCCTTTTTTGTGGAAGGGTCAGTGAGTATAGTGACGGATCCGCACATGTCTCTGAAGGCCCCCCCCCCCCCGCAGGATCCCTTGCTGAAGGCTGCTCACCCACACAATGGTCTGGTCCACACATAATTTAAAACCATAGTTAAACTAAAACTTAAATGTGAATGTACAGCATGCCGGTGCTCTTTGCTGAAACCACAGGTGGCTCACACTTCCTTTGTTCCTGCTTCACTGTTGGGAAACAATACCTGATCTGAATTAGCATTACTGTATGTCTGAACCTGGGTGCATAGTCCACACCCCCCCCAATTGCCCCATGAACAAACCGCAGATGTAAGCCAAACTTTAGTCACCACTCATGGGCCAACTGTAATCATGAAAATTTTGGATTTTTTAAATTTTTCTGGACTTTTTTTTTGGGGGGGGGGAGCTGCATCTGAATTTTTGCCCTAGTCAAAAGTAGTTTAACTAAATATTTGAATAGGTTGGGTGGTAAGTAAATGAAGCACCGTTAAGTGTTGTTGGCATCCATCTGTCTTGAGAGACAATGGAGTGAGCTTCCAGGGGTGAAGTCAAACAGCTGGAGATTCACAGTGCTTGCTGGGGCTGCAGAAATTGGTAACTCATAACTTCTGCCTCCTGCATTGTTTTTACTACGTTACCAGCATCAATGTGACCTCTTTGACATGCAAGCCCGGACCGTGTGTATGGAGGTCCTGGGCTGCCAAGACAACAAGACCACCTTGTGTTGAGTAGCTTGGTGAAACGTGTTTGAAGTCTGTGTGTCCCTGTGAAGGCTCTCAATCCGCTGTTCACAATCACTGATGTAAAATTTGTGATGGAGATTTCTGTTTTTGCTAATCTTTCCTTGGTAGTGCAAGGTTGCTTACTCATGTTATAAATATCTTGTTAAAGTATCCTTTGGATAACTTAGTGATTGTTTTATTTGGGCAATTTTTCCATAGTGACTTCATACAGAAGTTGCATTGAGCCCTGTGAAATTAGAATTATGAACATAATAAAAGGTTGTTGATAAGGACTGTGTTTTGAAGAATATATTCTGTGCTATTTATACTTTTACTGTGACTTGAAAAATATTTTTTCAGCACGTAGTATGCAGTATTAAATTGATGAATTGTGAGAAGGGCATTCTTAATAAAGTTTGAATGAATAATGTCGACACTTGTGATTTTTATAGTTTATTTTTAAACATTTACCGTTATGTTTGCGGTGCCACGAAGGAACACATAAATCCAATGCCATTCTATGGCATCTTTTAGATTGGTGTGGATAAAGCTTTGGCACATTTGCAAATTGGAAAAACTATTGTAGGCATCACACATACGCTGTAGCCTCATCTTATTCTATTTCTTATTGACTGCAATAAAATGGTTCCTTCAAGCCTAATTTCAGTGGATGAGGGGAAGCTGTGGTCACAAGGGGAAGCCCCTGTTGTTGTATGTGCACCTGTGAGTGACATGTTTGTGACCCCTGCTCCAAGTAGCCTGTGCATAGTGGGCAAATAGACTTGTGCTTGCCCAACCAGGTAGTGAGGGAGAGCCCAGATTCTCAGAGGGTTTGAATCTGGTCATGTTACCTTAAAGTCTCAAAACGTCAGTTTTTAAATTACTGTGAGGCTTAAGAAAATGCCTCCACATTTATGTATCAACGCTTGAAAACACTGTACCTGAAAACTGAGGGTTCTGAGATGCACTTACCTTGAATTCTCTCTTCTTCCATCCTATTTCCCCCCCAGATGGGTTCTTACTTTGTGAACGCAACATTTCATTCCAAAATAACTGAAGCAGCTGATATTATTGTTGGAATCTTCTATATTATATTTGGTAAGAGTGATTGTTTGCTATTTTCTACATATGATTGTGATATTCTCTACATATGATGATGATTGTATTTCACATTCTAGAAAACAAAAGATGATTTTATAACTCTGTCACTGGCATGTGTGTGATACTGTTTACCTACATGACCCAGGAAGTTGTTTGTGGACAAACATCGGCTCCCTCATCCTGAAGCGAGATGAGTGCCGCACCCCATAGTTGCCTTAGATTGGACTTAATTGTTGAGGGGTCCTTTACCTTACCTTTTACCCACGTATCTCTTTTCCCATTCCCGGCCCAATCTGAGCTTTGTATTGCTTATGTGTGCTTTGGTAGTAGCTGCAAAGGCTGTAGGTGACAGAATCTGAAATATGACCCATCCAGAAGGTGGCCACATTTTTCTGTGTGAAGTACATATGGAACTGGATGGACCAGCTGCTAGAGAGGAGAATCCAACTGTAGTATATATATACTGGAGGCCTCTGCTGGACTTGGACCCCAGCAAACCTGGACTCAGATTTCTGTTCAGCTGTGAATTCCTGGGACAGCAATGGGCAAATTACTGTCTTGAGTTTCGCCCATCAATACAATGGGAATTTTAGTGACTTGCTTCACAGTATTGTAGTTGGAATACATAAAGCAATATGCAAAATTTCATTTTTTAAATAAGTAAGTGTAATAAAATAATTACATTTGCATTGGTTTAAATTAGTTTATGGAAACCAATTTAGTTTTTTATTATTGTATTTTCTTATATTTTACACTCCATTTTTACACAGAAGCGTCATGGAACCCAAGGTGAAATACATGTGGTTCCAAGGAGGTCTCCTATCACCTGACCACACTTGCTTAGCTTCAGTAAGGTGGTCCCTTCATGTGCCATCAGACCTTTAGAGACTGAAGTGTTTTCTAGTGAAGGAAATAATCTTTAAGTAATGACAACATAGGGTCTTCTGCATCTTTGAAGACTAACAAATGTATTATAGCACAAGCGATCATGGACTAGCACCCATTCCATCAGATGCATGACGTGTAATCCTCAGTTGGTAGGCATAGATACACATGGGTGTTAAGGTGGGGGGAAATCTAGAAGTTGGAGTTAAATGATGATATAATGCACAAAGTACACATTGCGGTTTTCACAGACATATTGATGTGTTGTGGGAAGCAGTGTTTAAGCTGAACTTTCACAGATAAAGAATACAGATTACAATTACTGTGGGAATAATGTTTATTGTTTCCTGGCAAGCTAGCAGAAATTTATATTGGGCTTTACTGAATCTGAATCTGGTGACTTTCCTGGCAAATCAGCTAACTCAAGTACTTGATGAACTAAACATTAAGACTAAATATCTCTGAGACAGTCCAAGACAGGGACAGCCAATGTGGTACCTTCTAAATGTTGCCAAATTGCAATTTGTATCATTCAACAGCATTTGGAGGGCACCACATTGGTCACCCCTGGCCTAGGTTCATAGTGTTTTAGGGCCAAATCACATGTGACTTGGGATCTTTTGGCATGTGTTCTTTAAAACAGGCACAGGGAGTTCCAAATTTAATTGGAAGAGAGGTGCTGAGATATAAACTGTTTTGCCTTTTCCTCTATTTGGTTTCTCCAGTGTTGTGCCTCAAAAGCTGTTCTTACCCTGTTTTACAGAAACACAAAGATATAGCATAATGCCTTTCCATATGGTGCATCTGTGCACAAAAGAAGATGCTAGCCATTATGGTTCAGAGGACTGATCTGGATGTGATATATTTGCCTTTAGCTTTGAGCTCAATTAGTGCCTTGAATAAATTCGCTACTGCTCATTTTAACAGTGCAGTCAGCTAGGTTAGCTGCGGTCATCATGAAAACCTGATTGGCAATATATAAAAAGCTTGAGTGGCTTTTTAGCATTTTGTGGAGTGGGCTGCAGTCTGGGTCAGCTTAACTTGAACTAAATTTGGTTCATGGTAAGGTGCCATTAGTTCCCTGCTGCCTTGTTTTATGTCTAATTTTTTCTATACAGATAGTATACTTTTTATTATATGGGTCATATTCATTAATTTTTACAAAGTGCTCAACCACTTTGGAGGCAAGGGTGATAAGAATAAACTGGCACTGAAGGAAAGAGAACAATTTGGAAATCATGCTGCAAAATTATTATTTTTTGTAAAAACCCCTATATAAAAATCATGATTAGTCATCCCTTTGCCCTGTATGTTTTTCCCTTTAAAGCCACTGGAGAAAGGGACAACATGCTACTTTCATGCAAAGTCAAAATGCTAATGAGAGTGAAAACAGTTAACCCTTTTTTGTTTTGTCCTCCAGGCATATGCTCCTTTTGTGGGAACAGTATCCTCCTCTATGTTTCCTACAAGAAAAAGAACATATTGAAACCAGCAGAGTACTTCATGATCAATTTGGCCATCAGTGACCTTGGTATGACTCTGACCTTGTACCCTCTAGCTGTTACATCCAGCCTTTCACACAGGTGTGTTCAATGTGCATCCACTTGACTTCTCTGTTAGTAGGAAACAGTAACTAAACTTTTCTTCTTCCACATTTTTTTATTACTATAGTGATGAATAATTCCAAGGGCTGAGAAAAGCAGTCTTTCAAGCTCCTGGCAGTAATTAGTATTCTGAGCTGCACAACACTGTTGTCACTAGGATACCTTTTGGAGAAAAGTTGCATTCATTCAGTACAATTACTCCACCTGGTTTTCTAATTTTCAGTGGAAGGAATAACAAAAGATCCAGCTTCCCTTTCTACAGTAATACATGTCATTGTTACTTAGTTACAAATGATTTTTATTTTTTTTACAGAGTGAAATTCAGTTACAATTAAAATGAAAGGAATACATTAGTGGAATTGCTTATGTTTCTTTTTCAAGGTTATGCGTTCTGACGCTCATGACCTCATCATGAAAACTGCTGTAGCCACTCCCCAGGGATAATCCCTAGCCATGTCTCCAAGGAGAATCCAAAATTACAGGCAGTTGTGCAGATCCATTACACACACACACACACACACACACACACACGTGCAATTATACATTGTTACCTGGGAGTAAGCTCCAATGACTGTATACATTTAACTTGTACAGTGGTACCTCAGGTTACAGATGCTTTGGGTTACAGACGCTTTGGGTTACAAACTTTGCTAATCAGGAAGTGGTTGCTCCAGTTTAAGAACTTTGCCCCAGGATAAGAACGGAAATCGTGAGCCAGTGGCAGCAGAAGGCCACATTAGCGAAAGTGTGCCTCAGGTTAAGAACCGTTTAAGGTTAAAAATGGACCTCGGAAAGAATTAAGTTCTTAACCCAAGATACCACTGTAAAACACATTGAGCTTTAACTAAAAATATTTATCCAGCAGAAATAAAACTTTTAGCTTTTAATTTGAAATGCATAAAAAGCTAAAGGACCCCTGACAGTTAAGTCCAGTCATGAATGACTCTGGGGTTGCGGTGCTCATCTCACGTTACTGGCTGAGGGAGCTGACGTTTGTCTGCAGACAGTTTTTCCGGGTCATGTGGCTAGCATGACTAAGCCACTTCTGGCAAAACCAGAGCAGCGCACGGAAACACCGTTTACCTGCCTGCAAGAGCAGTACCTATTTATCTACTTGCACTTTGACGTGCTTTTGAAGTGCTAGGTCGGCAGGAGCTGGGACCGAGCAATGGGAGCTCACCCCGTCGCGGGGAACCCCGACCTTCCAACCGGCAAGCCCCAGGCTCAGTGGTTCAGACCACAGCGCCACCCGCGTCCCAGTTGAAATGCATACAATTTGCAAATAAGTGTTACTGTTTAAACTACTGGTAGAAAAGTAGGAATTCCATCAAAGAAAAAGAAAGAAGCATCCAGCATCTGCTCTGTTATTTTCCTCATTATCTGGCTTCCTCTATGCTATGCTTGTCACAAAGAAATGTAAAAGCCTCATTACTGTCTCATTCACTTGCCAGAGCAAGGCTTCTCTTAATTACCTGGCACTCTTGCAGATGGTGACATCAGTCCTGCTTTGAAAAAAAGTCAGAGTTGTGCTCCCCAGTATTCCCTGCCATTAGTTGTAATTGTAAATCTTTTGCACAGCCTATGAGTGGTTGAAAAATCCCCCCTTGTACTCAGAAGATTTGAACAGTTGCTCATGCCACTTTTGACCAGCTCTAGGTACTCTTGGGTGAGATCATTTTCAGTCAGGCTTTTGGCACTGAGACTGTCTTGGATGGTCTATGTCAGGAGATGGACACAGATTTAAGAGTTCATCTTTGGGACTCAAGTTGATGGGGACAGTTAATACAAGGTAGATATTATTATTAATATGGCTTATTATAAAAGTAATTTTCTTTAATTTAAATATATTGTTCTTCTACGCACTGCTGTCAAAATGGGAAGGGGCCCAGTAAAGTATCTGATGATGGTGTCAGAAAGCCATGTGGATCTTCAGCACTAAAGTCTTACAATGTCATTGAGTCAGAGAGCTGGAATCAAAACACAATGGCTCTCCTATCCCAATTCAATTTTTGAGGTTGTCGCTCGTCATCTAGGGCACAATAATACATGCCCTATGTGGTAAGTGATTTGGGAAAATACTTCCCATCTCAGTGTGTCATGCAATCCAAAACTATTTCAGATTGATAAGTAAAGGCCAGTATTCTTACTAGCTGATGCAGATAAGAATGGTTAAATGTTACAAGCTAGAAAAAACTAGTTGAACCTTATTGGGCTCATTAAGTCTGTCGTAGCTATCTATTGAATCTTATTCATTCAAACCTTTCTAAGGAAAGAGTTTAGATACTAAGTGATGCTGGTAAGTATGTTGCATTGTTCTTTTTTAAAAATTCAATATTTATTGGTTTATAAACAATACATACAGAAAACATAACTCATAAATGAGAAAAAAAATTACTGTATGTTTATTATTCCTTGGAACAAATGTGTCAAATTTAGTATATGTATGGGATATATAAAATAAATAGACAAATAAGCAAACAATTGCAGTACTCCCGTAACTTGTGTGAGAGAGCATTACCTTGGAGTTTCCTTTTCTTTAGACTTCAGTTCTATCTCAATATGTAAGAATATTAAATCTGCACATCCACAATTTGCAAATGTGCCTTTTCTCCACCCAACTTCAAATAGCCATTTTCCAAGTTAAATTGTATCAAGCAGACACTACTTGCCAGAGATACAGGCAAGAAACTGAACGCTTTTGTGTTATTTCTTTAATGAGTTTATATATTGTTCAGAATCCTTCCAGATGCATGCTGTGCTTTCAATTACGTTATTTAAATTTGAAGCAACATAATTTCTTTCATGGGATGGTTATAAGCATTTACGTTCATTAATTTTTTATAGACAAATAAAGATACATTAAGGTCCCTCTTGGCTCAGAATGAGCATGGACTATAATCAGTATTGCTATCTCAGTACAGTAGTGACCCTTGAAAGTTACTTTTGAATATATGACTGAACAGTAGCGAAAAGAGTATTTTTTGATATTAATAACTGTTTCATTTTTCTTCCTAGGTGGTTATTTGGCCAACAGGTTTGCTTGTTCTATGCATTTTGTGGAGTATTTTTTGGAATCTGCAGTCTGTCTACGCTAACATTACTGAGTACTGTGTGCTGCCTAAAAATTTGTTTCCCATCTTATGGTAAATAATTTTTTTCTTTCCTTCTGCACAAATTTAGAAGAACCAAGAGTTATGCAACACAAATTTTGGTACTAAGGTTATCATTGTGGCAGTTCTAGTATGGCCATTGAGTCTCAGGAAATGGAGTGTTAGGGAGTGTGAACTCTCTCTCTCTCTTTCTCTGGCTCTCTCTGTAGAAGGGTTCCCCCTTTTTGTGAATAATACTGTTATAACTTGCATTGGAGGACTGTTGAATAGCAACACAATGTACACGTCATGACAGAACATAATTGCTTGCTTACTTTATATAGGTCAGGGATGTCCAACTTTGACCTGAAACCCCACCCCCCAAAAAAGGGGTAGATCACTGCCAGATTTTAATCATGTGAGTAGATTGCAGTCTCTAGGAAGTTGGATGTGCCTGGTATAGGCGAACCTGGGCTGCTTTGCTCCTTTGGTTTGGAGATAACACTATGTTTCGCTCCCCACACTGGTCATGGTTGTTTTGAGTAACTATTGGGTTGGGCATACTAGTTGGGTTGGGCATACTAGTTGTAGCTAATGAGAGTTCGAATCCAATAAATTCTGGAAGGCCATAGGCTAGTCACCACTTCTCTGTAGGCAATAAACAGAGAGACCTGTATTTTGATTTGTAGACTTAAAACTAGCTTCAGTATTATTACAAGCAACATCTCACCCATGTATCTTAAATGTGAATATTTTGTATTTCAGGGAATAGATTTAGGAGAGAACATGGTTGGATCTTGATAGGATGCAGTTGGGCCTATGCAGCCATTTTTGCCCTTTCCCCACTGGCTCACTGGGGAGAATATGGAGCCGAACCTTATGGTACAGCATGTTGCATTGACTGGTATTCATCAAATATAAACACAACAGCAATGTCTTACACGATTGTCCTTTTTGTCTTCTGTTTCATTATCCCCTGTGGAGTAATTGTTACCTCCTATACTCTTATTCTGATTACGGTGAAAGACTCCAGAAAAGCAGTGGAGCAACATGTCCTGGGACCCACCAGGATGAGCAACGTGCAGGCTGTTACAGCCAAGGTATTTAAAAAGCCATGTTCTTTTTTCTTCACCTATAGATTTGCACTCTGTTTTTTAAAAAGTATTTCATTGCTTTTTCACATGTAATAAACATAATTCAAAGCCCCATAAACAACTACAATAGCAACTAGTCTGCCATTTCTCGGGGAAAGGCATAGCAGCAGCTCAAAATCAGAAACAGTTTATAATGCATATTAAATACTCTAATTTAATAGGTCTTGCCAGATGTTTCCATGGATCTGTTGAGGTTTTTTCAATTGATCATAGTAGGGAACTGTGGTTTAAAGAGATCAGGATCAAAGTGCTGAAGCCAGGTATCAGGGGAGGGCACAGCAATTGAGCCTGGCACTTGTTCCCTGCTTAATAAAATGGGGTTCTTTTAAGCCAGGAATGATAGGTCTGACTCTCTACTCTAGATATGAAACTTTGCTGAGACTCTGCCTAGCTCTGCAGGGGAAAGAAACAAAGCATGCTTTGCCAAAAGAATTTAAACCTAGTCCTCAGTCTAATGGGTCCAACAGGCTCTTGCGCTCACCCCAAAATTACTAATTGCCTGAGCTATACATAGTCAAAAGCAAAATCCCATTGAGTTCAATGAGGTTTACCCTCTAGTAAGCATGCAGAGAACCCTAACATGAAAGTCCAGAATAGCAGTGATGACTAAACCACTAACTTCTGCACCCGTTCCCACTTTCTCTTTCCCCTGTCATGAAGGGAGACAAGTTGCCCTAGCCCCTCTCACAGTCTCTGCAGATCATGAAGAACTTGGATGGGGGAGAGAGCTTATCAGAGGGGAAGACACTCTTGCCATTGGCATTCTAGCAAGGGGAACAGATGAGACCTTTTTCTACTACTCTGCAATTTGGGTCATGGGAATAACATACAGGACTAGTCCCATGACTAAAAATCAAAATGTGGGGGAATCAATGCAGGCTATTTACATATTTTATCAAAATGGAGACATCCACAATACAACAAAACAGTTTTAATGTAGTTTGTTGTGGTATTATACTTTCCTTTATGCATATTTGTTGACTCTAAATCTGATTCAAATTAAAAATTTACATGGCAGCATTTTGGAAAATTAGATTAGGGAAATAATCCTTCAGATATCTTTGTGTCTCTACCTCTTTACTGAGGTGGTACTAAAATGTAAGATAGCTAAGTTAGAAAATGTGTATCTTTTGGAGACAAATGGACGGAGATTGCCCTGATGGGACAAATCTGACGTTTTTGCAAGGACATTCTAGGGAGGAAGTTGTTTAGCTTTTGGGCTGCTGGCTCAGTCAACATTTCAGGAAGGCCGAGATTATTCAGGATCAGGCCAAGGGTAGCTAGAATCTTAAGAGTTGCTTATGGGTAATTTACAAACCATTTGCTCAGCTGTAGTTCCACTGAGATCAATGAAGCCACACGATTCTATATAGCCTGTAAATTATGGTGTGTTTTAGGCAATGAAGCTCTTTGCCGTATATCACAGCACCATAACTTGTTTGCCAGAAGTGTTAAGTGCAATATATCATCAAAGTACATTTTAGATGCAAGGTTCATTGTCCTGTTGATTAATGCCTGCAGAGTTTCTGTTTAATGATTGAACAATCAGAGACTACATTGATTCTGGCCTGCAATCTGTCAATGTGTTCACTGTTAATTCATGCAGTCTATGGAACCTCCATCTTTCTGTTATTATGCTGCTAGCATAGTCCTATTGTACTATCTAATGTTATGGAGGAGGTAAGCCTTGCTGCAAGAGGGGAAAACTTAGTTCACTTTGTATTCTTCTGAATCTAGTCCAACATATATCAAGTTTATCAATGGAGTGGTAAAACTGATGACCAGATTGCTAAACAGCTTTTGATTTAAATTCAGTCCTAAAGCAATCTTTAGCAGTTAGTCTCTCCCATTTTAAAGGCTACATGAGTATACTTTAGAAATATAAAAATAGATGCAATTTGTGTAAACTCTGCAAGGGTGAAGGCAGGAGGAAAGGGTTTGTCTTGCTGTAGGCCCTGTCAAGTAGGAGCCCATGATAATCTCACCAAATATACACATCTGTTGCAGCAATACTAGTTTAACTTAGGGAAATGTCCTATCATTAACTGTCTCCTGGACTCAACAAGTCACTTCCCTTTAGAAGTGATAAGTTGTACTGGAATATAGGCTTGAGCATACCAATGGCAGGGTGCCCACTCACTCCAAGCACCCTGTCGCTATCCCCAGGCTGCATAAGCAAAGCATCATAATTGCCATCTAGTCTTCCTGATGTGGTCACTGGTGCTGAACAAGTTAGTTTCCATGGCTGCTGTGCACTTATGTTGACAGCCTTTTGCCTTTAATGGAATCTGTGGATAGAAGAAGCAAGAGAAGAGGGCTATGATATTCTGAAATTATATTGAAGCATGAACAGGAATTGTGTTTGGCACTGAGTTTCCTGTCTAAGAATAAAGAATCCAGTTCTTCTGACTTCTGTTCCTAATACTTTTCATGGTGCCAAAGACTGCTTGTTGGTCCACATTTTACACTTGTGGAAATTTTGGCTTGTGAACAGGACTGTCTTACCAGCTTTTACACTAATGCTAGATTTAGGATTGGTGCTATAACCAGACCCTTGATTTTCTAGTACCTGGGCTTGTAGGAATCTTAAAAATGTTAACGTTTCATTAAAGTTCATGGGGAAGGGAATTAGTGCTCACACCTGGATCTCCAAGCTGAAGTTTGCCTTGTGCCACCCACTAGGATGGAGGAAGCCGCCTTGTTTCTATGGCCAGTGTAGTAGCATATAATTCATAATGTGGCCTCCATGCTCCAGCAGTTTTGGCCCAATTGGAAGTAAGCATGGGCAGGCCAGAAGTGATGTTTATGGCCTGCTCACTCAGGATGATCTTGTCTCTCATGCCAGGCCATAAAGGGGAAGAGTGACAATAGAGTGATAGAGACACACCAGGGGTGTGGCGTTCATTGTACCTTTCCCGCAGTGCATTCTTCAATGGAGGAGTGATTGGAATCAGGTGTGCATCATGCTTTATTAAAAGCGAATGTAGGCAGATGAAATGTGTCCTGGACTCACTTGTTCGGGGGGGGGGATGACTTGCCAAGCCTCCTTTGAAGAAAGATTGGGACTCACTGAGTGCATTCTTAGGACCTCCCCTTCACCCCTAGGAGGATTGTGACAGCAGATAATGGTGGGGAGGTAGCCTGTGATTAACTGCAGCTGATCAATCTTTTAATCTGTGAGAGCTTTTAGCTCCACTAAAAAGAACAGATGCTGGCACTATGAAATATGTATAGGTAATTGGTTGTCAAAGCAAATGATTATATATCCTTGCTTTATTTATAGTTACAACCAATATTCTTAAGTGCTAATATAAAAAAAGAACCTTCCTATTTCAGAACTATTATATACCCCATTTGATAAATGCTTCCGAAAAATGGAGGAGAGCAGCAGGAGATAAACAGAGCAGATATGCTGGCTTTGATGTTGACATTCTCTTGATATTTTAAAGCACATTTATAGTGGAGGTGAAATGGTCTTTATTGGCTTTTATCTTTATTGAGCCTCACAAAGTTGTTTGAAGCTTTGCATATGCATCCAGAAGTGGAAGCAGGTATGGTAAAAGTGCACCTAGCTTGTATGGCCAATGTTCAGGGATGATGGGAGTTGGCGTCCACAGCATCTGGAGGACCCAACATTGGCTACCCCTGCCATAAAGACTAAAATATGAAGCACCTTTTAAGGATCACCTCAATTTTTGAGGCTTTGTGACTGGTGCTTCTTTCCTCTTCCATTTTTGGACTGAATGTAAGATTGCATGAAATGGCATAATTCTTGAGTGCTTTGTAACGGTCAAAGTGTTGGGCAGGATGCAGCAACAAGGCAATTTAAGTACAGTGGTGCCTCGCAAGACGAAATTAATTCGTTCCGCGAGTTTTGTCGTCTTGCGATTTTTTTCGTCTTGCAAAGCATGGTGTCGGGAAAGTTTTGGAAAAGCTTCAAAAATCACCAAAGTCTTTAAAAACCTCAAAAAAGGCTACCACACCGCGTTCTATGAGTTGCTCCTCGAAGTCAAGTCACAACTGTATTAACGGTGTTAAGAAAAAGGAAACAAACTTGCAAGACGTTTCCATCTTGCGAAGCAAGCCCATAGGGAAAATCGTCTTGCGAAGCAGCTCAAAAAACAAAAAACCCTTTCGTCTAGCGAGTTTTTTGTCTTGCGAGGCATTCGTCTTGCGAGGTACCACTGTAAAGACTTAAGTTGCCTCAAATAAAGAGTTTGCATACTCTCTGAACTCTCTCTCTCTGTGTGTGGGTGTGGGTATGGGTATGTGAATGTATGATCAAATGTAAGAACACCACTTTTGTGAGCATGGAAATGCTGTTTGCAGGCTGACTACTTCCAGGTTTTAACCTTGGAAAATGGAAGAACCATTGCTATGCTTTGGTAGCAAAGCCATAGTGTTTGTTTTGTATGATGGGATTCCTATTGCACTAGCAGAGGGGAAGATATGGGACCTGAGCTGTGCAGCCAACTGCAGAGACTGTCTCAGTTCTCCTGCTGTGGATCCATCATTGAAGTGTGAAATCATTTTTAAGCATGCTTTTATTGTTAGTGCTTTTATTGTTAAATCGCTTCAGGGTATAGGAAGCAACCAATAAACTCACAAGTAAAATAAATAAGAATAGAAATAATCTCTATTTTGTCTGCCATTTAGCTTGCAAGATGCAGCTGGATCTCTTTGACTGTGATTGGATGCTATGCTCTTTGAATATATTCATAGCCATTTGTAGCCTATTTGCAATCTTGGCTGCCCAGTGTAGGTTATAAACTCTTGGGAGGGACCATATCACAAAGTCTAGGGGACTGAAGGAGCTAAATGCATGTTTAGTAGCTATGGCCACTTGGTTATTGTGGTGGCAAGTATGCATGTGGAAAAGGGCCAAGTATTAGACAAATCTCCACCAAATGAATTCATCTGGTTAACATTATTAAAAACAAAGCACATCTTATTTAAAACAATAAAGCCAATGAGAGTATAAATGATGACACCGTAATTGTTAGAACTGCAAACTGTAATTAAATAGACTAAAAGCCAAATCAGATCTGTTAATGGCCCTGAAATTGACTGACAATCATGTCATCACTCTTAGGCAGTTGTTGCTTGGAGGTGGGACAGTGAATTAGGCAATCTATTGGTCTAACCCACCTACTGTTTTGTTTTGAATAGCACAAACTTTCTTTTCTTCTTTTAACTTTGCAGCTGAGTATTGCTGTATGCATTGGATTTTTTGCTGCCTGGAGCCCATATGCCGTCATTGCCATGTGGGCAGCCTTTGGGTCAATAGAGAGGATTCCTCCACTAGCCTTTGCTGTACCTGCTGTTTTTGCCAAGTCTTCAACACTCTATAACCCAGTTATGTATCTTATGCTAAAGCCTAATTTCCGAAGCACTATTGCCAAAGATTTTGCTGTTCTCCAACAATTATGCATCAAAACTTGTTTTTGTCTCAAGCATGTACAGAGCTGTTCTTACAGATCAGTTCTTGAAGTCCACTCGAAATCATTTAAGGGAAGACATGAATCCAGCAGTAACTCCATGCAGATAGTAGAAGGATGTTCTTATTTTCCCTGTGAAAAGTGCAACGATACCTTTGAATGCTTCAAGAACTACCCAAAGTGCTGCCAGGACAGGCTAAGCACCATGGAACACACACTTCAAGAAAACATACCCTTGGAAAATAAAATTCAATCGAACGCAAAGCATGCTTCTGAAAAATATGTAAAGGTTGTTGTCAGAGGAGAAAAAAACAGTGAGATTGATAGTTTGGAAGTAACATTAGAAAACATACCTATGGATACTAGGTTTGTCAACCTCTAGAGTATGTTTAATCAAATGCTCCAGGTCATAATTTAATTGCACCAGACTTAACGAATGTAAAACTTTTCTAAGCACTACCCTATTTTTATACAGTTATTTTTATTTCCTTATTACTCATGGGAGGACGAAGTAATACAGCATAAATATGTTTAAAAATGTATTTGACTTTCAGCATGTCCACAACCATACCTATGTGCATTCAGAACAAATTGTGTACTACTGCATTTCATTCGCTTCTGATTTTTTGAGTTTCAGAACTTATGTCCTTTGCTTCCCAGAAGCAAACCACTTCATACTTGTGAGGCTTTTCTGCAAAACATTAATTCTTCAGATGCTTGGTAAATATATTTTATATGCTGCATATTCATCAAAAAGCTTGGTCTAGGTTTTCTGAGAGCCCTTTCAGAGAGGTAATGTCCATTGAACTGTTAATAGTTCCACAAGGCATATGGTACCCCCCCCCCCGGAGGCTATGAACAGTTTTTTTCCATTTTCAGCTTAGGCTACTGTTCACATCTCCTTTCTCATGCAGTTTTCTTTCTAGGAGAGGGAGTGGGAAATTTTCCTTTCTCTGGTACATTCCCATGTTGCTCTTGGAGCACTTACAGTCAGTTCCACTCATGCATGAGTGCCCCAGCCTGGCCTTTCAAGAACAAACTTGTGAGGGGCCAGATGTTTCCTGTATTTCTGAACTTACAGCATGAGAAGCATTACAAGGCTATCATTACTTCTCTCAACGAGGCACCTACTTCTCCCACAACAAAACTCAGAAACTGAGCCACTTGGGACAAGGTGCAGAAGATATTAGCTGCCCCTGGGCTGTAGCCAGGGAAGGAGCTTCTCCACACACAAGAGGATCACTTTATACTCTGTCCACCCTGGAACTGGCACCCTGCTCTTAAAAACATTTTCTGCTACCATACTTAGCTGAAGCAGGTAATTAGTGTCACTGAGTTGTCAGTGCCTGACCTGAAGACAGATAGTGCCTGCCCCTCTAATCGCAAGAAATGATTTGGGAAAGGTTGCTCTTGCCAAAGGCCTGCTACTCTTTTAACCTTCTGTCCCTCTCCCCCATAACCGTTTTGCTTTGCAAAAGCTGGAGAAGGTGGGATTAGAGAGATTTAAATACAATAGTGACACATTCAGACTCTTCATCTAGGCAAAAAGCAATATAATCAAATGTAGACGTATAGGATGGGGGATACCTGACTTGACATGTGAAAAAGACCCCAGGATTGGATCTCAAGATTATAAACTATTAGCTGCTGAAAATGAGTTGATAAGGTGATGCAGCTTCAAACAAGGCTAATATTCTGCACTAATCATACCTCATCTGGAGTACTTTGTTCAGTTTTGAGTGCTGTGACACAGGAAGGTTGTGGATGAATCAGAAACGGTTCAGAGAAGAAGAATGGGTGGTTAGAGATGTAGAAAACAAGTTCTCTCAGAGAAGGTTGAAAAAATTGGGTATCTTTAGCATGAACAAGAGAAGACTGAGAGGAACATCAAAGATTCAAAGGACTGATACATAATACTTGTTCTCTGGTGCCCTGGAGGGCAGGACTTAAGGACAGTTTTCAGCTGAACATTAAAATAAACTTAACAGTAGGAGCAGTTTGACTGTGGAATCAGTTACTTGCAGGGGTGATGGGTTCTTCCTTGTCAGAAGCCTTGAAGGAAAAGCTGAAGGTGCTCTAGGTTTGGATTTTCTCCATCAAGCAGGGGTTGGTTAGATGCTTCACAAGGCCTCTTTGGTTCTAAGATTCTATTTGGTAGCCATTCAGAATCACCGAGGCAAATAGATAAAGAAGTGAATTTGATTTATGGGAATTGTAGCTCTGGGAGGTAATGGGACATCTCCCAACAACTCTCAGCACCTTTAACAAACTACAACTCCCAGAATTCTTTGGGGGAAAGCCATGACAGTTTAAATTGGCATCACAGTGCTTCAGATGCATAGTGTGAATGTGACCTAGAACTGTGCTGCACCAGATGAATATGGAAAAATAATATCAATAAATACCTATACACTGATCCATATAGTAATATGACTATGTGCTTTGAGGCTCCTTCTCTCTCCAGTACTGCACTAAAATGAAGACTATGGCTTGAATCCCAATTTTTGTTCCCATGAACAGAACAGAATTATTAATGGGGGGTGGGGTGGCTTGGCTTGGCTTCCCTGCCTGCTGAAGACCCCTGTGTGCCCTCTCCAAATCTCCTGAGAGTTGAAGGGCCCTATGCAATAGAGTGACACAGGGCATGATTGGAAGAGGCATGGGAAATCAGCAACCTCCATGCATTAGCAAAAGTGTTTTCCATTTGGGCAACACTACCCAGCGCTGCCAACTTGAATAAAATAATGGGGGTGGGGGACAGGTAAACCCTGCCCCACATAATCAGTCACATGACACAGCACCCACCCACCATTTGAATGGCAATGCCCATTAACTTTGGGAGGGCCTGGCTCCCTCAAATATTTTATGGGGAGGCGCAAAGGGAACTTAGCCCCTAGGAGCTGGCTCCTATGGCACCACCTTTTGGATCTTGAGCACCCATAGATTTTACAATATCACACAACAAAGCACTGGTCAAAAAGAAAATGTACTCTAACTAAAGGGGTCACAAGTATGTCTTGCGGCCCACAACTAGTGATCAAGCAGCCAGTGTTCTCCTGTTGTTTTTCCATGTTTATAATCTAATAGAAAAACTATGGGCCAATATTTTCTTTTGTCCATTTAAGCAACCACAGGACAGCAACTCGGTTGTGTAGCTGAGTGGAAGGAAGTTTAAAGTATTATTAGCCATGTGCCACAGCACTTGCTGTGGAGCTAACAGAACCAGAGAGAACACTTTAGATGGGAAAAATCTATTATGAGGAGAAGGGTTAAACCTTCCTCCGGTGTTACTGCTCTAATGATACTTGGGAAAGACGAAAACATCAGGAGACCCACTCATGGAGCTCCTGCGTTTTGTGTAATTTAACCTTAATACTGTTAGGTATTCCCACAGGCTTTATCATTCCTGATGTAACATATATACAGCCAATTGTGGTATTATGCTTTACTTCAGATGGAAGGAGAAGAAGAATTTTAAAACAGGATGATATTTGAGCCCTCAGAAATGTGATATTAGGAAGGCAGGGAGCTTTTAACCAAAGTGTTTAAATTAATTTGCAGATCAAATGGGATTTGAGCAGAAGACTTCCAAGTCACAACCATGAAAATGCTTTTTTGTACTGAGCTCTGTGACTTAATTATGTGTCTTTGTTCTTAAAACAATCACTACCATATGTGCAGTAGCAACTGCAAAACTCTACCCACTAATCTGCTTGCATTTGCATACTAGATGGTTTTTAAGGGACACGGGTGGCACTGTGGTCTAAACCACTGAGCCTCTTGGGCTTCCTGATCAGAAGGTCGGCAGTTCAAATCCATGCGATGGGGTGAGCTCCCGTTGCTTTGTCCCAGCTTCTGCCAACCTAGCAGTTCGAAAGCACACCAGTGCAAGTACATAAATAGGTACTGCTGCAGCAGGAAGGCAAACAGCATTTCCATTGTGCCAGAAGTGCTGGCCACATGACCCAGAAAGCTACCTGTGGACAAATGCCAGCTCCCTCGGCCTGAAGTGAGATGAGCGCAGCACCCCATAGTCACCTTTGACTGGACTTAAGCATCCAGGGGTCATTTACCTTACTAGACGGTTTGCTACATTATAAAATTATAAAATCAAACTCTTGTTTTCTAAACATTGGTAAATCAGCTTGATTTAATACAAAACTCGTTTTGTAATGCTGCAGATTTCTCCCTGTTTTCAAATAACTCTGCAGATTCCATCTGCTTGTGTTTTTTTAATTAGCTGCTGCAATTGCCTGTTTTGTCAAGGTTGATATAAATTTTATATTATAAAGCAAAAAAAGAAAAGAAAAATAAATCCAAGTTTATCAAGCAGACTCTGGAAATGTGTTGTTACTGGCCACCTCAATCTCTGTTGAGCAGCAGTCTTGGCAGTGAACCAAGGTTTGTGTTCCTTTGGAATGAGGCACAGTGGAAGCTGGTGTCTTTATGAAATATGGTTTATTTTACACATATTTGCAGCTTGATGGAGAGAGTGAAGAACATTATACTCCAAGAGTGTCTCTCATTGCTTCTCTTAGCACCGGCAAGCTTGGGTCCAAAACAGTAGCCAGCCCTGCTCCCAGGTCTCTGTGTGTAGCCTCACCCAGCCAGTGCATGGAGGTCAGGCCCCTTTTTTCTCCTTCCTGAAAACCATTGTTCAGAAACCTTAGTTTCAAAGGACACCTTTTTTCCTATGGTGACATAACGCCCCCTGTTAACCTCCAGGGTAGAAATTGGGATTGCCTATAGCAGTATCTTTACACAAATCGTGAGGAGTACCACTATATCCAACATTGTTGCTAAGAGAACATTAGAATTTCTTTTTAGCTTTCAGTTAATGCATAGCAAATATTCCATGGCTGTTGTATTTTGCAGTATTTACTCTGAAGGGCAATTAATATATTATGAAGTCAGTTCAGCCATAATTATACGAGCAATTCTATGCTCACAGCAGTTCCAGAGATATGCCACAGCTGTCCAGGTAGGACAACCGCCATATCCAATAGACTTTCAACCTAGAAAAGTGGGAGGGGAAAACCCACAACTCAGAGAATACAAAATACAGTGGGAATATGGGGAAATGACAAAATGAAAACGCCAGTGCTCACCACCATGTACCATGCCAGTGATGGTGTCCAAACAACACATGGATATGTAATGAGCTAGCACACACAATATGAACTGGAAACATGTATGTTGTGTTGCCACCAATGGTGCCCTGTGGTACTGTGATTAAACAGAAACACTCAGGACAGCACTCATTCAAATCTCTTAATGGGTAAAACATCCCCACACCCCACAACTGAAGAAAGACATAAAATCAGGTGGCAGCAACAAGCAAGGTTATGCAGCACAGTCTGCAAAGTGGGCACAGCCATGGTTAGGAATTTGTTGGTTTAAGATGTCCATGTGGGAACTTCCCCCCCCCTTTAATCGTATCCATCTGTTATTGAAAAGGAGATAGTTCGTTGTGGGGCCACATGAGTATAAAAGCATTTGTGCCAATATTCCCAGTGAAAACATATCTCACCTCTGGCAATATTGGCTGGGAGATCTTGCATGTGGGATTGTACCATATATCTGAAGTCCTATGTACACTTTCCTGCCTTGAACACAGTGGGGTTTACTTCTTAGTAAATATGCACAGGACTGAGCAACAAGTCCCACTGATTTCAATAGAAGATTTAAACATGGGCTTAAATGGCACCAATTACGGGATGCAACCCCATAAGCAGCGAATTTTAGATGA